AACCCCCGTTCCCCGCACCCCCCGTTCCCCGCACCCCCCGCATCCAGACCCTCCCGGGGATGCTCCGGCCGCGCTGGGCAGCGCAGCACCCCCGGCCCGCGGGGTCGCTGGGTCTGGAGGGGATCGGGGGATGCCGAGGGGGGATGGCACCCGCACCCTGTGCCGGCGGGCGCGGAGAGCACCGGCGCTCAACTTTCCCCCTTGTCCCCTCATGCCAGCCACCCCCGGCCCTGCCCAGCGGTAACTTTGCCCCCCCGTCCTGCCCTTCCCGGCGGATTCCCGTACCTGGCAGCGGCGGCCCGGGCCGGCGGCGCCCCGGCGGGCGGCGGAGCCATGCGGCGAGCCCGGCGCGGGGCGGGCGGCCCCGCTGCAGAGCCCCGGCCCGGCCCGGCCCCCGCCCGGCGCGGCCACACCGGGGGGAGCGGAGAGCCCGGCCGGGGCACGGCGGGAGAAGCCGGGCAGGGATGGAGGCGGCAGCGCCCGGTGGGATGGCGGGGATGCCCGGGCGGGAGGCGGGCAGCGCCCGGGGAGGGCTGGAGGGAGGGATGGAGGGAGGGAGGCAGGCAGAGCTCAGGCAGGGATGCGGGCAGCGCCCGGGGAGGGAAGGAGGCTCTGCCCAGGCAAGGATGCGGAGGATGCCCGGGAAGGATGAGGGCAGTGCCCTGGAGGGAAGGAGGCAGCACCCGGGAAAGGAGGCAGGGAATGCACAGAGCGAGCCGCAGGAATCCAGCAGAGACACCGGCTTCTCCCGGGGCTCTGGGGAGGCGCCGATGGGAAAAGACCCTCCCATGTCCCCCCTGCAGTGTGCTGGGTGCAGCGGCGTCACCCCCTTCCCTCCCCGGCGCCCGGCGGCTCTGGGCTCCCGTGCCCGCCCCGGACGAGTCCCACGGGCCGGAGTCCCTCGGGGGAGGTGGGCAGGAGCCCTCCGGGGACTCTTGCCCTCCTCCGACACCGCTGCTCGCTGTGCTCGGGGCTCATCGCTTCGCCTCCTGCCGTGCCAGCCCCCGGCCCGCGGGAGGGGCTGGGGGCTTCTCTGTGCCCGGGGGTCCCTGAGCCCAGGTGGCCGCAGCCCCCACCAAAGGAGGGACGTTTCTGTTGCAGTGTCCGCAATTTTGGGTCACCCCGCACGGAGCGTTTACCTGCGTGCTGGACAGAGGGAAGATGCCGCCTGCACCTCCAGGACCATGGTCCAGGCCCCCGGGACACGCTTCTGATGGACTCCCTGCGCCCCCCTGCTCCTCGGAACAGCCCCCAAGGCCACTCCGGCTGCCTGTGACACCGGCGAGCACGAAGGTGTCTGCACAGGGCTGGCGGCGATCGCACGGGCTCGGCCGGGCTCCCCCCAGCCTCGTCAGCACCTTTGGCTAGGAAAAAACATCATCTCCGGGGTGAGGAGGGGGTGCAGGGGCAAACACAACGCCACATCCCTCCGAGGGGACAAGGGGACGGCAGACACAGCCCCACGGCTGGGGGCACAAGGACGCTGGCACAGCCTTTGTGCCACCCTGGCACCAGCAGCAGGCAAAGGGGGTCACAGCCCTGGCAGAGAGCGGGGCGTTATTTCCCTGCGGAGATGCTCGCAGCAGGGCGATATTTCTGTGTCCTGGGGTTAGCAGCAGCCCGAGACGCTGCTCCCCTTCCCCGCACGGCCATGGAGCAGCGCCGAGCCCTGGAATGTTTCCGGCAGAGCGCAGGGACCGGGCTGCACATGAACTCTCCTGCACAATTCAGGCTCCAGGCTCGGGGCTATTTTTAGCGGTTCCCTCCGAGATGCTCCTCAGTTGCAGTTTTATGTGTGAAATTTAATATACGAGGAGCGGGGGGAGGGGAGTGGGGCTGGATCCCGGCACGTCCCTGCTGGCTGCGAGGTTTATCCCAGTCTGAGCAACACGAGTGCAAGGCAAACCTCAAATCATCCATCCAAGAGTCCCTGCGTCCTGATGTGCAGGTGGCAGCTGGGGACAGGCAGAGATGGTGGCTATGGTCAGCTCCTGCCTCAGCCAGAGCCAAAATCCTCCCCATAGCCCTTGTGACCCCCACAGCCCATCACGGGCTCAGGGATCTGCTGGCATGGGGCAGGATGGGTGTGAGGCCAGTAGGAGCAGCAGGGATTTTGGGGAGCCCACCCAGCACAGGAGGATTTGCCCCAGCTCCAGCCAGAGCAGCAAGGAACAGCTCAGGAGGTCCCTATCCCACAGTATGGCCTCAGGAACAGGGAAAGCTGTGGGGACCAATCCCCCCTGGCAGTTCCCAGCTCTGGGAGCATCACCTGTGTCCCCTGAGCCCCACGGGTGATGCTGCTAATGCCAAACCCAGCTCCCAAGGGGTTGGTGTGTCCCTGCTGACAGGGAAATCCACAGCAAATCTGCAAACCCATAGCAGCAGCAGCAAAGCCCAGTTTGTTCTCGAGGAGCCTCTGGCAGAACAGGGAGGGAGGATGAAACCTTTCCCTTTGCCACAGGACATGAAGGGACAGCAGCAGAAAGGGCACAGCCCTGAGATCCCACAGCAATTCTTGTTCCTGTGGGGCCAAATGCTGCTCCAGGCCCATCCCCAGCAGGGAATGATGATCCCATCCCAAACCAGGGATGCAGGAAGGGACACAACAGCAAGATCAGGGACCCCAAGCCAGCCTGTCATTGTGCTTACCTGACATGTGCACCTGCTTCCAACACAAAACCATCCCAGAGCAGGGCCACACTGGCTGATATGGTACCTGCCCTCCACAGAGGGTGGAAGTTCCCAAAATCCCAGGTGCTGCTCAGCCAAGGCTGGGCAGGGTGAGGGAAAAGGTTGCCCTGCTCCAGAGCAAACCTGCTGCTTGTTCTGTTGGATTTCTGGCCACTTCAGGTACTGAGCTTGGCTCTGGGCTGGCACAGAGGTTTTGCAGCCCAACCCACCTTGCTTGAGATGGAAGAAGAGATGGCAAAGCCCTCTGAAAAACAGCACCAGTGCAAAGCAATCCAAACACACCACTGACTCCCAGGATTTCACTATTTCCCCACAGGAAAAACAGGTCACAGTACACACAGCCCCCCTGGGGCTAAATGGGTACATCCATCTCCTGCTGCTCATCTGAATCTGTCCCTGCTGCCCTCTGAGATGAGGAGAAGCAGCTGTTGGAGCACCAAGGGAACTTGCAAGCCCCAGATTTGGGGAGTCTGTGTTGCAGAAGTGCCTGGTGGAAAAAGAAGCCTGGTGATCAAACAATCTCCTTCCCACCAAATACAGCCTTCAGCCCTGGGCAGAGCCAGCATCGGGGGAATGGCTCCTCTCCCCCTTCCCACAGAGCCACACGCAGCCAGAGCCTCGTGGAAATGACTTTATTGACACGGAGGGCAGGGAAAGCCTGAAGAGCAACACGAACGGGAACACTCGAACGAGCGGGGGCGGAGGGAACGGCACCGACGAGCCCCGGCCCCGCCCCGGGCTCAGACACCCACCCCAAAAGCTGGGAAGGAATTTGGCAAGAGAAGGGGGTGCTCAGCAACCCCTCCCCACATCGAAGCTGTGCTCTCCTCCCTGCCCCACACAGCATCAGCGCCGCCGGCGCTTCCTTAATTGCTCTGTTAATGATTTTTACACTGCAGCCGCAGGGCTCGGAGCAAATCCCCTCCCAGCACACTGGGCAAGGCTCGAGGGCCGGGTTGCTCCAGCTCTGCCCCACTTTCTTCCCCCCAGCCAGAGCCCAGGGGTTCCTACACAGGGACATACCTTCCTCAGGGTCCTGCTGGAGCCTCTCCCAGGACACTGTGACCTTTTCCCAGCACTGGGTTCTTGGCTGCAGCCAGTGCCAAAGCCCTGATGAACGATCTCCCACCGTGAAACATTTACTGACTTGGAAAGTGGTGTCTAAAAGGACAACAGGGGGGTTGCTACACGCAAGAGCTTTGTTAGCTGGGGAGGAGATGTCCAAGCATGCTGGGGAGGGAGAGGCTGGTCTGGATTGGGGTTGGATTAAGCAGGACAAGCTATGGATGGAGCAGGGACATGCAGGAGGCTTTGCTTTCACTGCTGGTGCTGCAGCACTGAGTGGTTGCGATGGGGCGACTCCACAGCTGTGGACTGGAAGGGAAACAATCCTGGCTCTAAGGGACAGCTTGGAAAACAGGGGCCAGGGCATGGGGCTGCTTGGGACTCAGAGCAGGAACCTGGCTGGCTCTGGCCACTGTGCTGGGCACAAAGAGTGGAGCTGCCAAAGGGAGAAACCCTCCCATGACTGCTCCACCCAGCCCAGCTGAAGCTGAGTGCCCCAGGCAGGCAGGGAGCAAACAGTGCCAGGCCCAAAGCATCTCCCACCATGCTCAGCCTGGGCTTTGGGGGCAGCAGGGCAACAGGGAGAGCCACTCCACTCCCCTGGCATCCTGGGGCACTGCCAGCAGCAGCCCCTCTCTGTGGGGGCCTGGGTGATGCTGCAGCCCCACTGGGGAAGTGACAGTGCCACACCTGGATGTGGCACCACGAGCCTGGGAATTGCCAGGGCCAGCACTGGGAGAGGGGGGCACAGCTCAGGGATGGCTGAGGAGGCAGCTTGGCCTCAGCAGGCACAGAAAGAATGGGAGGAAGAGGGGCTGCACATGGGTGAGGATGCAGAGGCCATACCTGGAGCTCTGGCATGAGCCTTTTGCTCTAAGGACAGGCTCATTTCCTTCATTTCATCACGCCTGCCCTGTTACCCATCCAGGCCTGCAGCTCCTCACCACACAAAAGCAGCCTCACTGCTCAAATCACCAGCTCATGAGGCAGGGAGATGGCTGGAGTGAAAACACCATAGAAGCCAGCACAAGAGTAATAAAAACCCCTCCTTAGGGCTCCATCCCCCTCCTGGGACCCCACTGATGGCTCTGTTCCTAATTCCCCGAGGCTGTGCTCACCCTGCTAGAGCCCCATGTCCCTGCAGGGCTCCCAAGACTTCCTTGCAATCACCTTCCCTTTAAGCCAATTACAATAGAAAAACTCAAAAAAAAAAAAGGTATAAAAATATAAAATAAAGTGCAGTGTTATGTTTTCGACACTTTTGCCTTGTTTTAATGAGCAGACGTGTGGTTTTTGCTCGGTGTTTTTTCGTTTTTCCAATGAGCAGTTATTTTACAAAATCCAAACTACACCTAAAGCCATTTAGAAAACACTGAACATTGGCACAAAATGGGAGAGAAGCCCACGAGAACGGATGAGTGAGGGGCGAGGGGCACATGGGAGTAGTCTTGAAGCAGTGGTTACAAACTCCATGGACGCTAAAAATACCAAAGGGGTTTGTTCCCTATCATCATTAGCACGTGGATACTAATTGCTACCTTGTTTAATCAGTGCCTTTGACTGCAATCCTACACATGAATACAGCTGCTTCCAGTTAGGAGTGCTCTTCCCTGCGCTGGCGGTGAAGGAGGCTCTGGGGACCCCTTTTCCCCCCCTCCTTCTGCAGGGTGAGGCACAGGCTCCACCTCCTGTTAGTTTTTCAAGATGGCATCGTAGGCCTGGTAGATGTACTGGGACACTTCAGGAGCTCGGCATTTCAGGGAGAGCTGTGGAGAGGAGAGGAGAGGTTAGTGCTGGAATTCCTGCCACAAGGGAATGGATGGTTGGACATGGCTGCTGACAATCACACTGAATGTTTGTCCTGCTTCCTTCATCACCTACCTCAAAGTGCCCTTTCAGAGCTTGCTGAAAGCAGGAGGAAAACAAAAGCAAACTCCCAAATTCTCAGCAAATGTAGGTGGCCCCACGGGCAGGAGGAAAAAGGGGACATGGTCCCAAACTGAGACAAGGGACCTGTGCGTGTTCTCAGGCTGCAAATCACAGCACTAAACCCAAGGGCTTCTAAAGATCTGCTGCTCAGTCCTGATGGACACAAACTTGGCTGTCACTCCTCTCTAAAGCAAAGATCAGGCTGAGACCAGGCTTGCAGCATCAAACCTTGTGCAAACACTTTAAATCACCTTCCAGCGCTCACATCCACCCCGCAGCTCCCCAGACCACACATTTCTCTCAAAACTCCTGGCACAGCTTCCAACAGGAGATAAATCCTCTAATACCAGAGACACACAGGTCCCTCAGAAGGGCAGTGAAGTCAAAGAGAAGAGTCACAGGGGGGCATGAAGCAGGACAGAGAGCACCTTCCCCCCAGCCCCGGGCTGGTGCCAGCACAGGGCCACAGACAGCCGGGAACACGGCGGGGCATAAATTTCCCCTTGTCTGGAAGAGGGGGAAGGGCTCCCTGGCAGTGCTTCCTTGCTAATATCTCTTGGCTTTATCTCTGGGTAACCTTGGCAAGGCACTGCTCGTTGCTGAGCAGGCACTGGCCCAGCTCACTGGTGACAGAGCAGGGGAGTTCTGTTGCTCCTCACTTTTCCTGTGTTAGGCACTCCCTCCTCACCCCCCCAGCCAAATTAACAGCATCTCCCTCAACACAGAGAGAGGTGTCACTGTCCTGTTTCCTGAAAAAATCCCTTTGCCAGGATTTCTTCTCCTGGCAGGCTGAGAAGCCTCAGAGGAAAATGAAAACAACAATTATCTGATTGCTTCTCCTGTGTTTTGCTGCTTTGGAATGTGGTTTGGACACTGTTTACCAACTGGTCATTGTTTGATTGGTGTCATATGAATTGTTTTAACTTAATGACCAATCACAGCCAGCTGTGTCGAGACTCTGGAAGGAGTCACAAGTTTTCATTATCATTCCTTGTAGCCTTCTGTCAGCATCCTTTCTCTATTCCTTAGTATAGTATAATTAATATAGTATAATAGTAGTATAGTAGTATAGTAAATATAGTATAATAGTAGTATAATTAGTATAGTATAGTTAATATAGTCTAATACAGTATAAATAATAAAATAATAAATTATAGTATAATAGATACTATAATATAGTATAAATAATAAATATAATATAATATTCAATAAATACACTAATAAATATAGTGTAATAAATATAGCATAATATAGTATAAATAATAAAAATTAAAACAATAATGTAATGTAATATCATATATAATACAATAGAATACAATATCATATATCTTATAATATATAATATAATATATGATATATGATATATCATAAAATAATAAATTAGCCTTCTAGAAACATGGTAGTCAGATTGATCATTTTCCTCCTTCACCCTGGGTACCCACTGAACAGCCCAGGGAGGAAGGGCAGGAAGGAAGGGCCCAGGGTGTGGGTGAGCAGCAGGCTGTGCCCTGCCCTGTGAGATCTCACCGTGTAGTTGGGGTTCCCGGGCTGGATGCGCAGCTCAGCCAGGATCCAGATGCCATTGGTGAGCTTCAGGGACTGGTAGAGCATGTCCTGCCCCTCCACGTTCCTCTTGGCAATGGTGTAGACATTGTTGTTCTGCAGCTTGCTGGAGACAGTGTCTTTGGAGGGAAGGGAGGGAAAAAAGGGCATCTGTTAGTTCAGATCCATCATCTGCAGAGACAGGAGAGCCCTGGGGAGCATTCCCAGGATGCAAGGGCACAGGGAAATGCTGGCTGCTTCCCTGGGGACAGGAGCACACATGACACAAGAGGAAAAAAATTCCAGTTCTCTCCATGGGCCCACCTCATTCCCTTCAGGCTGTGATCTCTTGGTGAGTATTTGCCCATTTCACAGGGCTCTCACTGCCCTGGTCACTCAGGATTTGATCAAGGTGAGACTTTAAAGGCTGCTCAGAGGGGAAGGGAACTCTGCTTTCTCTACAACCCCCATCCACCTACAGGCAGCCAAAAAGTCAGAAGATGAAGGTGGAAAAGAACAAAGATCACAGCCTGAGGCGTGCTCAGGTTCTGAGGTTGTGTCCCAGCCACAAGAGCTCCCTCCTACTTTGCTCACACACAGACACTTCTGGCCTAATCAATGTCCTACAAGGTAGCAAAAATCCTCTCTCTTTTTAAAAAAGTAATTACTTGAAAGGGTAAACCACCCCCCAGGCACTGTCTCCAGACTTCACAGGGCTGTGGTATGGTTTTAACACACAGCCTGACCTCAGACCTTGCAGATGAGGTGTGATTTCAGCTGCACACCTGGATGGGTGTCATTGTCACACACATTATTTCTAAGGGACTTTTTGAGGAAACCAGAACAGGCAAATCCACAGAACACCAGGACCCAAACCAGCGGCCCCTGAATGCCAAGGAGTTCCTCAGCACAGAGCAAACATCAGGCTGTGGATGCCTGTAAAGGGGCACAGTCACACTTTGGGTGGAAGATCCCACACCTGATAAGCATCATTGGCAAATTCCCATTCCTGGTGCCCAGCAGGAGAAACTTAAGGACACTTTATCTGTGCTGGGTCATTCAGAGCAGGCTGGGTCATTTATGACAAAAAATGAGGGACAGAAAGAGCCTTAAACCAACTAGCACTGAAAGGCCAGAGACTGGAAAATGTGGGATCCATCTAAGGAGCACAGGGAGCAGGACAGCAGCAGAGGAGCAGCACCAAGTGACCAAGCAGCTCTAATCCATCCACAGGGATGGACAGTGGACACCAGTCTGTGCTGAGGGACTGGAGAGAGGACAGCAGAGCCTGTTCATGCCCCAGGGAATGGTGGGAGGAGGAAGAAAAAGGCAAATCCACACCTTGATGCAGACCCTGGGATCCACTGCCTCTCCCCAGGGCAGCCTGCACCCTTTGTGCACCCCTTTGCTCCCCAGGCTCCAGAGCAGCTCCCTGCAGGCCCAGGATGGTTCAGGCATGCAGCCACCCAGACACACTCAGATTTAGGCTTCCTCTCTTCCCCAGTTACTATGGAAACTGGCTGATATATGTAACTAATGAGATCTTTTGCTTAAAACCCCTCATTGCCTGTCTCCTCCTCCCACCCATACTCCTCCTCTCCACAATAAACTCAGCCAGACTTGGGAAATGGGCAGTGCAGAGCAGTCCCCTGCTCACAGGGAGCATGGCTGGGATTAATCCATGCTGCAAGGACATCACCCACCAGCAGTGAAGCCCCAATTCTCAGATTCTTATGCTCCCAAGGCATCAACAGGAGCCTCCAGGCCCTTGGGAAGGCAAAGTGTCCAACACAAGCACAGGCTCAGACAGGACATCCTTGTCTGAGAGGGTTGCTGGTATTAAATGGGATTTTTTGGACTCATTTTGACAGGCTGTGGGTTAAACCTCACACCTCTGGAAGGTGGAACTACTGGCAAGGACTTTCTCCAGCAAGCCTGACACCTGCCACAGCAGCCTCCCCTCTGCTGGGAGATGCTGTCAGAGTAAAGGCATTCCCTGGGGAGCAGGGATGCAGGAACTGGAATGAGAAGCTGCAATTTTGGCTGCTACCCCATCACAGGGGGTGATGGCAGAGCAGGGGAGCTGTGTCTAGGGAGCTCAGCAGGTGAGACACAGCCACAGAGCAGCTGCTCTTACACCAGAATCTTCATGTGATGGCTCCTCTTGCCATAGAAACACCCCCAGCCTCTGCTGAGGGGCACACTTCAGAGCAGGAATGTGCTTGGAGGGGGATACAGGGAGGGAAAGTGAGGCAGGGAAAACCTTAGGAAGCCCATTTTCTGCTCCCCTGACCTCAGTTAACCTCCAAAGAGCACAAAAAGCCCCAGCAAAAGATGCCCTGCCTCAGCCAGAGCAATGGTGAGCAGCTGGAGCTGATGCTTGGCTGGCCTGACCCTCCTGCCCCCAATCTGAGCACAGACTGGGGGAGAGCTGAGCCCCTCTCCCCCCAGGAAGCAGCTCCCATCCCTCCTGTGCTCTGGAGTATCAGCAATTTGGATTTTGGAGATCATCAGAGTTGCTAAGCAACAGTGGCAGGCTGGGGCTGGCTGAAGGCAGGACCGCTAATGCCATGTGACAGCACAGCCTTTATTTAAAAAAATAAAGAAATGAAATAAAGCCAGGCAGATCTTGCTGGGAGCAGGGAGCTGAGCCCAGGCCCCCAGAGCCCAGGGAGGCTGCAGCAGGGCTGGGTGACTCTGGGGACTCTGCAAAGCACAGCACACAAGTCCTTCAGCAAAGCAGCACAAGGCACAGCTGGCCCTGCACAGCAACTTTGTTTTGTCTCAAGGTTTCTTCTCAGAACCCTCCTGAAGCACAAGGGAAGGACACAGGGAGGTTTGGCCATCACCAAGGCCAGGGAAGGCTCTGACATCAGCCCAGCTTTCAGGGCTGGTTTGCTTGGTTTGTTTTCCTTGTATTTTCCTTTCTGAACAGAATTTTTGACCTCAGTCCCACAGCCAAGCAGTGCACATGGAAACACAGGGAGGAACAACTCAACAGCTCACAAGTCCTTTGCACTGAAGGGACCCAATCCTTTTTTAACAGCATTTTTCTCCTGGGTAAAGCAAAGGATGAGCTCAAATCTTCTGCCCACCAGCTCAAGAACTTCACACCTGAACTCAGAGAGCCAAGATGAGCACCTGGCAGGGGGGGTGTGCACCAAGGACAGGCACAGCTCAGAGCCAACACTGACCATACCCCTTGTGTGACCTTTGTGGCAGTCTGCAGCAAGCACTCCATAGCAGAAAGTACAATTTAATGCTTCTATTTTATGCTGTGATAGCCCAGAACATCCCTGTGCCATTTCTAGCAGCACCTGAATGGTTCTGAGCATCCAGCCAAGAACTGCATTCAAATACCAAGCACAGGCTGATCCAGTGGGGAGGCACTTGGGGCAATGTTCTGACACTACATTTATTTCCAGGACATGTAATATGCACCAGTTTTGTAATTTATTAAACTATCAGCTACAAGATTTGCACACACAAAAAAACAACATCCCATGCAAGCTTGTGTATGATTTCCCCCCAGGTTTTCTCATCAAAATAAAATCCAATTTACCTTTTTTTCTGGCATTAGCAAATTATCTGGGGGAGAAAAACAAAGTGACCACTGCATACCAATAAAGCCACATTCAACTCAAAACATGAAAGCTGCTGTTTCACACCAAATTGTGGATCAGTGATAAACAAATTAAACAAAATTCCTGTGCTGAATAGCACAGCAACTGATGGAATACCATTAAATGGGAGGAAATCTCCATGTGCAAGTCAGCTCATCCTCTTTCACTCTGTGGGTTTGGGTAAGCAGTGTTTAGGAAAAAGAAAACCATTTAGCTCATCTGATTTGCATATCCTAATGTAGTGATCCTTTAGAATTTAGTCAAACTTAGCATGCTGAAAAAACCCAGTGTAAACAAGGCAAACTGAGCTTCAGTGCATGCTCAGTTACAGGGGAAACCTCAGCTGCACCAACAGCACCCAGAATATTTGAGCTGTAACAGTTAAGCAATCTATTTTCATGCACTAGATTGATGTATTTTCATTAAAAAAAACCCCAAATCAATTAATTTAGCACTGGATTAATAAGAAATGAGAATGCTGGGCTATAACCATGACCTTGTGTTTTTCATTATTTCTGAATGAGGCTTTCTCAAGGGAACTTTCCCAACCTCTTCCTAAGAGGCTGATGCACAGAGCAGCTCTGATGAATTCAAGATGTGCAGGGCATCCCAAGCACACCTTGGCCCCATGGAACAGCTCCAGAGGGACTTGTTCCTCCACAGCCCTCAGGAACAGCCTCAGGCCAGGTCCAACTCTCACCACTGGGAACCTGAGCCCCGAATCCTGATCTAAGCACTCATCTCTCCCTGAGTCACTGGGGAACGGTGGGAATACCTTCAAAGGCCCAGGATTTCCTTTTTGTGGAAGCAAAGATGGTGGAGACACAGATCAGAGCCCAATTCCCACTTACAGGGACCTGCTCCTCATCCCACAGCCTGGCACCTTATGCTTGGCTTCTCTTGCCCTGCTCTGGGCTACCTGCAGCAGCCAAGACTTTCTGGTTGCTCAGTGCTTTGGGATGAGCTGCCAGGGACAGGAGCTTTTTTTGCCATCCCACCAAAGCTCAAACTTGTCTTGTGGACACAGGATGGATCTTTTACCTACAAAGGCCTGGGAGCACAGGCTGCCACAGAAGCTTCTCTGCTGTCTGTCTGTGTTTATCTCCTTTTTGTTTGAAGGAGGAAAAGCAATAACCTGGAGAGGAGTCTGCAGTTTGCACAGGAGGTGCTGTAAGGTGACTGTTGCACGGTGACAGACAGCTCTGGATGTACAAGAAACTCACACACTGCTTTTCTGACAGATCAAATCCCAGCCCCCAACAAATCCCTGTTTCAAGTCTAACTCACTTCAGAGCCAGTTCCTGAGCTCACAGCACCATCCTGGCTCTTTCCTGCTCTTCCCCCTCCTCATTTCTTACAGGTACGTCCCAACCTCTTGGGTGCACACACCTGCTATCATGTCTGTCACACTGCACATCAGCTTCTTCATCACCCACTCTTGTCATTCCCCAGTTCCACTGGGCAGTATTCTTCATTTTCACCTTCATTTCCTTATTTTTCACCTCTTTGATTAGTCCTGTCTCAGTTCAGACACTTTCTAGAAAGCCTCAAGTGGGTCCATTGCCTGCAGTTTCCTTGCAGCATCTCCCAAGATTCCTGCCTTTCCCTCAGTAAAATCTAAATAGGAAATAAGTGCTGGGTGTTTAGAGAGAAAGAAATTCAAATTTCAGTTTCTCCACTGAGGAAGAGCAGCACCCCCTGCTTGACTGCTCTGCAGGGCCTCCAGGATGGCTGCACAGAACTTCTCCTGCTCCTCACACAGCACAGATGTGAGAATTCATGAAAGGAAAGGCTGTTTGCAGCTGGGAGATGGGGAGCTGGGAAAAGGGGAGATGGGAGAAGGAGAGATGGGAGAAGAGGAACTGGAGAAGGGGAGCTGGGAGAAGGAGAGATGGGAGAAGGAGAGATGGGAGAAGGAGAGATGGGAGAAGGAGAGATGGGAGAAGGAGAGATGGGAGAAGGGGAGATGGGAGAAGGGGAGATGGGAGAAGGGGAGATGGGAGAAGGGGAGATGGGAGAAGGGGAGCTGGGAGAAGGGGAGCTGGGAGAAGGGGAGATGGGAGAAGGAAAGCTGAGAGAAGGAAAGCTGAGAGAAGGAAAGCTGAGAGGAGAGCTGGGAGAAGGAGAGCTGGGAGAAGGGGAGATGGGAGAAGGGGAGCTGGGAGAAGGGGAGCTGGGAGAAGGGGAGCTGGGAGAAGGGGAGCTGGGAGAAGGGGAGCTGGGAGAAGGAGAGCCAGGCTCTGAGGGTGCAGGGATCACACTCCTGCCCAGCCTCTGCCAGCCCAGCTGCTCCACAGGGCTCTGAGTGGCTGCTGGAGCTGTGCTAGGGCCCAGCTCTGGGAGCTGGGTATTTTTAGCTCCAGCTGCACTCACGTCACGGGGCTGGGATCAGGGAGGCTGAGGCATGAATGGTGTCTCAGCACTCACCACCTGGTGGGTGGGCTCAGGCTGGGCATGAATGACCGATCCCAGCAGATCCCAGCAGGGAGAACAGCTCACTCCAGGGAGCCAGCAGTGCTCCAGAGCTGTTCCCTGTGCACAAACCCAGCCTCTCCTCAGGTCTGGTGAGGAGCTGCTGGGATCTGCAGAGTTTTGTGCAGCTCTGCCACGAGTGCATTGCAAAGCTGCAAAGAACACCACAACCACTGACAGCCCAAACTGAGAGCTTTATTGTGGTTACACATCTCCTGCAGGAGAGTCTTTGGAAAGGAACCAGCCCTTCCTCCACAAGGATCAAGTTCCTAAAAATTTTACTTGCAAACTTGCTTTTTTTGGAAGAATGGATAGTCTTAAACCTATTTTCACTGGATTTAAACAATCAAAACTGTGAATCTTGAAAAATTATCACCCTACAGATGCACATGGCCAGGCACACACCCTTGCTCTGGTGTAAACTAGAAGATGGACTCAGATTTCACCCAGCCTATTCTGCCTCTGCCCTAGTGTCTCACTTGCCATGCTGTGAGAAGCCTGCACCCCTGAGGATGATGGAATTCCAGCCCTCCATGGGTTTTGGATTTGGCTGATCCTTGTGCAAGCAAGGCTTGGTGCTCTTAGGATGGTCTGAGCTAGAGGAGGTAACTGCCTGTAGGAAATCAAGGTGAGCAGGCTGAGTCAGGGCTGCACTGGTTAAAAAAAAAAAACAAAAAGAAAATATAGAAAAAATACAAGGGGCTCAGGTAAGCACACAAGATTTCCCTGGTTTTCCCTCCTGCAAGCTCTTGGCTTGCCCCATGCTCAAGCCCAGGTGGTCAAGGAGGGGTTGCAAGAGGGAGGAGGTGAGAGCAGCAGAAACAGAAGCCTCGGTGGCTGGAAGTGTTTGGAATCTGTTTATGAGGTGAGACTCACTTTCTGCCAAAGAGGCTGGCAGGTCCTGGCAGGTCCTGCACTCCCCAAGCAGCCCAAGGGATGGGTTGTGCTCTGGAGAGGCTGCAGATCCCACTGAGAGGAACTGCCTGGTGTTCCCTGCTCTCCCTGAGAGCTGGAAACTTGTCCTCCCCTGAGCACCCCAGGCCTGGCTGAGCAGCCTGGCCCTGAGCTGGCAAACCCTTCTGCAATGGGGAGCATTCTGTCACTCCAAATTTCATAACATCCTCTTCCAGAGGGAGGAGGGGGAGGCCAGGCTGCAGGAACAGCAATCTTCCCAACCACATCGCCTTCCAGGCAGCACCTCAACACCAAAATGAGCAGCTTCCAGGGCTCTTCATCTCCAATCAGTGTTTCTGATTGGAGATAAAGAGCCCTGGATGCATCCAGGGCATGGCCAGGGCAGAAGGCAGCAGCAGCAGCAGCTCTGCAGTGCAGGGGGAGAGGCAATGCCAAGCTCAGTCAGGAGCAGAGGAAGGACTGGGGGAGGCACAGAGGTTGTTCTCATTTCAAACCCCACAGTGAAATCAAGTCATAAGGTCCAACAGCTGCTATTTTTCCCCTCCTCTTGCGTGCTCCAGCTTTTATATTCTAAAATAGTAATAATTATGAGTACAAAGAGACCCATGGTTTCTGTCTGCTATTGAAGCACGAGGGTGTTCATTGTGTAATAGCAGGCATGAGAGAATAAAAAGGTTACAGGGTTGGTAATCAATAGGGACACTTCTTTCATCTGTGAAACAGAGCAGCTTTTGGTAGAATCACTTGGCTCCTGTCCAGAACCTCCAGAACAGGAGCAGAGCTGCTGAGCTGGCCCCATTCCACCCTTTTACACTCCCTTATCCTTCAGCAGTAGTAAGGTCACACGTACAAGATGCTCACAGAGGAAACTCTACAGCCAAACAAACTGAAGGGGACCAAACATGATGAAAATGCATCAATATCTCAGCTAATATCAGCACACCCTTCCCACATGGCCTGTCCTCCTCAAACACCCAACACTCTGCAGTTTCTGTAGGGTTAAATCTTTCATAACAGAAAGGAAGAAAGAAGCTGCCAAAAGGTGAAGTGAGTGGCCCAGGGTGATGCAGCAGGGCTGGAACACTTTGATCACAACTCACAGCAGCAGGACAGAGTTGCTGAACAGCCCCAACACCATATTCAGCTCCATTTAAAGAGCAGCTTTGCAGGGAAGCAAAATATAAAAGGGAAAAACAAGAATACAAGGTCCAGAATGAAAGGAAGAAACAGACTGGTCAAATCAAAGACTTGGGATTTTTAGATGTGCTTTTATGGGGACCCAGCTAAAGTTTTTGACTGAAACAAGCCCTAGGATCCCAGGCTGTGCTATTCAAAAGTGCAATACTTACATCTTCATCAGCCATCAGCTTATTTTACTGAGGTGATATTAATAAGGTGATTTTTAATGGCAATACATCAAAAGTGCTCTCAGCATGGCAGAATGAAGCTACTCACCAGCATTCAGGTGACAGTCTTTAATCTGGAACTGAAGCTCATTTTCATTTGGAATATCCTTCCATGTTGCAAGGAAGACCTGGCGCTCTAGAAACAAAAAAATCCCCTCAGCACTGTGGGATCCTCACAGGACCCCAGCATTAATTAAGACACCACAGAATATTCCAAAGTAGACACACTAAAGGGCTTTTGGGAACTTTCTGCCCTGCTGGGAACAGATTTATTCCTGGATTTACCTCAGTCTCTGTAAAAGCAGCGAAGCTTTGATGGATTTTGGATTTTGGCCTCCCCCAAAAGAGAGATAGTCTTTGCCATATGAGCTGTTTACAAGCCAAGAATATGCAGGATTTGACAAGAAGGAAGGAGATCCACATATTTAGGATTATGTTAGTGAAAGCTGCTTTTCTAGCAACTTCCAGCCAATTCAAACAAAACTTTTACAATAAAGGTGACTAGGAATACAAGAATTCCAGGGAAAATGGTGACTAGGAATACAAATAAAGTTATTTGTGACAGCTGATTCTTGCATGATTACAGCTGCTTGCAAGGTGACATGTGATGTCATTCCTGAACCCAGTGATGCAGTTTAGGAATACAATAAAGGTGACTAGGAATACAAAAATTCCAGTGAAAATGGTATGGGGGCAAATCCTAGACCCATTCAAGTGAATCAAACCATCAAAAAAACCCCAAAACTACAACAAATCCAACCCAAACAAATACAAAAAAAAAAAAAAATCAGCTTCAAAGAAAACAGGTCCACCTGGCTGAGAGAATGAGAGAAGGGACTTGGGTTCTGCAGCTGGAGGACAATGGGGACAGGACAACAGGGACAACCAGACCAGACCTGCTGAGATGCCATGGCTTGAAGGTGAAGGCACAGGTGAAACAGAGCCAGGAGGCACCTGCAGCTCCAGCTGGGCACAGCCTGGCTGCAGGAGGCTCAGCACACACCCCAAAGCACTCACCCATTTTGCCATCCTCCACGAAAAGCACGTTGAGAGGGATGAGGCAGCTGAAGTAAAAGACATCAATGTTGTTTTTCACAGCCACCTGTCACAGAAAAAACGGGGAGGTTAAAGAGTCTCTCTCAGCTGGAAAAGCAAAGGGATCACACATAGTCTCATCACCCTGGAGTGCTCTCTCTGAGCAGAGGCCAGCTCTGAATGGGATGGTACTGAGCTCCTGGGCAGGTTCAGAAAGGACCAGTCCCCTGCTCCATTTTCACTGAAAGCTGCCCAAACTTCTCCTGTGAACCTTTCATTGTGCTGCTTCAGAGCCAGCTCCACTCAGGGGCTCACAGCAGCATCCTGGCTATTTCTGTTCTTGCCCAGTCTCTCCCTCTCCTCATTTCTTACAGGTACATCCCAACCTTTTGGGTGCACACACCTGCTATCATGTCTGTCACACTGCACATCAGCTTCTTCATCACCCACTCTTGTCATTCCCCAGCTCCAAACCCCTGAGCAGTATTCTTCATTTTCACCTTCATTTCCTTATTTTTCACCTCTTTGATTAGTCCTGTCTCAGTCCAGACACTTTCTAGAAAGCCTCAAATGAGTCCATTGCCTGCATCTTCCTTGCAGCATCTCCCAAGATTCCTGCCTTTCCCTTAGTAAAATCTAAATAGGGAATATGTGCTGGGTATTGATTCCTGGAAGAAGAAAGCCCTGCTAGAGAGCAATCAGGTAAAAAAAAAAAAAAACATCACTTGACAAAAGACTTAATTCTCAGTGTCATTAAACTCCACCAGCCAGGGAGTTTGCCCTTATCTGCTTTGCCTTTATCACACACACTTGCCATGTTCCCCACTAATCTCTGCTAACAGTTCTCCCCAGGCTGAGAGCTGCTGGGACAAGCAGGAGCAAATGGGAGGTCTGAGAGGTGCAGTGTCACAGCACAGCTCAGGAAAAGGCACCTCTGAGCTTTATTTCCATGCCTCTCATGCTCTCCCCACGTCAGCCCACACAGCTGGAGCCTGTCATGGGAGCACAGCTCAGCAGACACCTGCCTTTGCTGCAAGGAAGGGATCTTAAGTCTTGTAAGAAAGACCCAGAATTGAGGTTGTGTGGGGAATTTCAGGAGCCACTGGAGCTCTCACTTTGTTTGAAAACCCCCAGAGGGAGTTCTCCAATTTGTCACCATGAAACACAAACCAGACCATGCTAAATGCTGAGCCAAAGGAATAAATTTGCTGCTACAAAGATTTATGGCAAGACAAACTTCATTGACATTAATAATTCCATATATTGATGTCCTACTGGGAAAATCTATTGTCCTACAGGGGCAAGTTGGGAAGGACACCCACAAATGTTGGTAAAAACCAGAGACAAGTGGAAGGAGATCAAGCTCCCAAGCAAACTCTTCTGGCAATTGTGAGGTCCCAGAAGTGCAAGGAACTGCAGAAAGGTAAATGTGACAATCTGTGGTGTTTCTACTTTTCAGCCATCACTAAAGGTAGCAGCTTATATTTAATTCCCCCAGTGCAAACCAGCTTAAGAAGGGATTAGTCTAAAGCCCACTAAAACCACATAAATGATGGTGCAACTGAGGAAAAACCTGGGATTGGTTCTCTGTACCAGGGACTGGCTCCATGCTCTGATTGCTGGCGTCATGCTCATGAGTTGGAGTGTTCAGTGTTTGAACCAGAGGGGTAAAAGCAGATTGGTGGGTGGACTTCAGTGATTCACCACTGCAAAATATGATGGAACACACTGGGTGAGGAGCCAAAAATGCACTTCAGAGTCTGGGAGGGGAGAGCTGGGGGAGGGACAGCAGTGCAGCCATTCCAGATGCTGTGCTTGGATATAAGTCATGGAGATGAGCCAGGAGAGGGAAAATTTAGGCTAAATGTCTGGGAAAACCAACAGTGAGAATTATTAAGCAGAACTAAATTCCTCTGAGGATAAAAGAAGCTCCAGTGCTTGGACTCCCAGTTAAAATCAGCCTTGACAATGCTCTCAATAAGAGGAACTGTAGGAAAACAACAAAGCATAGCAGGGACTACACTGCACGACCCAAGATCTTTTCCAAGTCTGATTTAATGATTAATTGCCTTGCCTTAGAACAACAGAGATTACTTAGCTTTTGTAGCTAATTGTTGTTGCCATACAACAGCAGTTTCTTACAAGAGGGGCTGGAAAGCAGCTCCCTCTCTCCAGTCACGGTTTTAGAGGCACACTCCAAATTAATATGCCAGCCCTGTCCCTGCAGTTATAAGGATGCTATAAAAAGGTATCTGCTGACCTGCTTCTCAACTCTGCAGAAACACACTGAGTAAGCTGCTTTGGCTATCTCTGGAGAGCTACCCAATTAAGATGCTCTGAAGTGCAATTTCTTCCCAGTAAAGAAAAATCAAGCCACATGGAAGCCTTCCTCCCAAACTGCATCACTGGGTTCAGGAATGACATCACATGGCACCTTGCAAGCAGCTGTAATCATTCAGGAATCAGCTGTCACAAATAACTTTTGCACACAGGGTGGAAAAGGCTCTCCTGAACCTACAGCACTGGGACATGACTGGGGAGCTCCTCAAAATGAGCTTCTGTTGTTCACCATCACACACTTCCCCCAAACTGGGCTCCACAAGACCTGGGCCATCAGAAGACACCTGGATGGGGAAACTCACAGCAAGAAGAGCCCCCCTGAGTTGGTAACAGCTTCCCAAGGTCATGCTCCACATCAGGAGCACCCAGTGCCATCTGACAGGCTACAAAAGCAGATCCACAGCAGCACCTGCAAGAAGCTGAGCAGGTAATAACAGTGACTTTCCAAAAAAGTCCAGTGCTCCTCAGGTGGGAACATTGTCCTGAGACAGGCACTGACATCTGATGTGTGATAGCAGGAGCTGAGAAGCCTCTTCGGGTTTGGTATGCCTGTAAAGAAACCTCTGCTTGCATTCAACAAATCCTCCAGTCCAGACTAACTTTGCTCATGGCTCTGCTTTAACCTGCTGACCTGGACATGAACTATTAAATCTCTAGCTAGACCTTTAGCTTCAGACATTTCAGAGTTGAAACAGAAGCATTTTTAATAAAAATGGCTTTCCATTTGTGATCTTTTAGAGAGGGAAAAAAAATATTAGTACCTTGTGAATTAAGTCAAGCAGCCAGCAAAGCTCTGAGGGATAGAAGTCAAAAGGTGGCAGATTTTCATGTGATGCTTGACTGTTGAAAAGGTGTGAGCTCACTAAAAATTGGCTCAGGGTTACAAATCACTTACGTCTTGCTCATGATCTGACTAGAGGAAGCAGCACCTCTAGAAGTAACCCCTGGAATAGATTTGTTCACCTTCCAGCACGAGCACCCTTCTGAAGAGCTTTCTTGCAGTCCAGCCCTCTGAGAGCCCAAACATGGTATTTTGGGGAAGAAGTACCTCATAGGAACAATGTCAAGTTATTTTCTTCAATAGTGTAGGTTTCTGATGCTTTAAATCTCAGACTTGAGCAACAGAACTGACTTTCAAAGTCAAGTCTGAAAGCAACACAGATGCTTTCCATCAGCAGCAAGTACACAACATACCCACTTGGAATCCCATTAGCACCTACACTAAATTAAGGATTTACTTAAGTTGGGTTTTGCTTTAGAGCCTGGTAACAGCCAAACTGTTAAGGCAAGAACAACTCTCCTCTGCAGAGCCTTTTTTTACCTCACCAGGTCATGGCTTGCTCTGTGACAGTCTGCTGCTCTGCCCCCAGGGAAAATTGCTCCTCCACTTCATTTTGTGTGACAGGAAGGGTGTGATGGTGTTCACAGGAGTCTGAGGATGAGGGAAGAGACGAGGATCTGACTCCATGTTTCAGAAGGCTTGATTTATTATTTTATGATGTATATTATATTAAAACTATACTAAAAGAATAGAAGAAAGGATTTCATCAGAAGGCTGGCTAAGAATAGAAAAGGAAGAATGGTAACAAAAGCTTGTGTCTTGGACAGAGAGTCTAAGCCAGCTGACTGTGATTGGCCATTAATTAAAAACAACCACTTAAGCCCAATCCCAGATGCACCTGTTGCATTCCACAGCAGCAGATAACCATTGGTTACATTTTGTTCTTGAGGCTTCTCAGCTTCTCAGGAGAAAAAAATCCTAAAGAAAGGATTTTTCATAAAATGTGTCTGTGACAGGAAGGGATCTCAGGATGCCAGGGGTGCCTGCAGCCTCTGCCAGCCACGGGTTTGTGCTTCTTCTGTCTGTGCTCTCCCCACAGGGCTGAGCCTGGAGCTGTGCAGGCACAGCAAGGGTTACAGCAATGGTCAGGGAACACAGACTTACTGGGAGGGGTTGTGCTCTCCTGTGCCTTGCTGCACTTCAAGTTCAAAATGTACAATTTATAAATGTGCTGTACCATGTGGCAGACGTGCTCTTAACCTCCAAACCAACAGCTTTCCACAGCTGAGTGAGGAACTGGCCACAGATGCCAAGCTGTGATCCAAGTCCTTAATTCAGAGTGTTCCCAGGAGGGTTCTTTGCTGAAATAAGACTCTCACAAGCAGAGACTGTTGAAGAATAACCCAGGCAACAAACCCAAGCAGCATCTTTCCCATCGAGCTACCCACAGGTGTTGTGTGGTGGCTGGTCAGGGATTCTCACCCACGGGCAGATACTGTGTCATTTATCGAGCAGGCTCTGGAGAGTGAACATTTGCTGGCTGGAATTGCTGCTCACAACGATTCCCACAGAGAGCTGGATGTGTGAAATCTGTCTGCAAGGTCTGAGTGCTGTGTTTGTGACCTGAGCTCCATTAACAGCTCTGATGAATGAGAGCTCCAGCGGTTCTGCACTGCCAGACGCTGGAGCGTGGAGGAGCACAGGTGATGAGTTACAGCAGGAAGGATAAGCATCACCCACTGCATTAACAACACTGATATTTCCTCAGTGAAGAAGCTGCACCTTCCTCCTCTGTCTCTATAAAAAGGTTTTGCCAAACTCATTTCAAGCAACAAAAGTATCCTGCACCTCAGGCTGCACAGACTTCTGTGTTTCCAAGTGCCCCTTCTCAGGGAGAAATGCAGCTGGCAGACCTTTCCCTTTCCACACTCTGATAATTTTACTGAATTAAATAAAAAAAGCAGTTTGAAGCATTCCAGCTTTTTTCAGCTGCATGCTCTGTAGCTGCAGCAAGCAGGGCTGGCAGCTGCCAGCAGGATGTGACACACTGATGGTGCATTCTGAGTGTGCATCCCAGGAGAGTGGCTCCAGCCTCAGGCAGGCTTGCTGCTGCTCCAGGACTGCCTACAGCTCATTTTCACCTGCACTGTCTCCTGCAAGGGGCTATAATCTCACAGAAGAGATGATCAAGTTTGTGCCATGACAGGCCAAGCCTGAGCTCTGAAACTCTGGCTGCAGGTTGGCTCCACTTCACCCATTTCCAGGATCAGGGGAGCAATTCTTGTGTGCTCCAATGGGTATTCCAATTTCACAGCATTTCCTAGCTGTTAAAAAGCCAATTATTAGGAACAGTGGATCTCTTCAGCATAGAAAGGCTCTCAGCCCAGGCATTTTCTAACTCCAAATTTGACTTGAAGAACTACATGGAAAGAGTTAATATTCCCACCAGTGCAAATCCCTATTTTAGGAGGGAATAGCTGAAGGTCTCACACACATGGTGCCAAAGACACCTCACCCAGCTGGCATGGCCCTAGCAGCTCACATGTCACCAGCAGTGTCACTCACAACTGCTTTGGTTGTGAAAAGGCAACCCTGCAGGAGCCAGGAAGACCTGTACAACTCCCAGAGGTGTCTCAAACACCCAGGAAAGTCAAGAGAGCCTTTCACAGACCTTTGGGCAAGGGCTTGTTGTTATTTCTTGGTGCCATAAGCACCAGGCAGCCCCAAAAATGCTGACAAGGCACTGCAAAGGTGTCCCCCACCAAAATTAGAAGCACACAAATACCTAAGTCAGATTTTCTGACTTAGGCACACTCCAAAGGCAGCTTTTTAATCTGACAGAAGTTAAAAAGATGAAGCAGAGAGCAGGGATTGGGGTTTGTTCAGCCCTACAGTGCTGTGTCCAGCCCAGCTTTACCCTTTGGATAAATCTCTGCTTGACTGGGGGTTAAAGCTGAGTCAACAAGTCATGAAAATGATGATGATTATTTTGGGATGCAGGGGAGAAGCCTGGCATTCAGTATCACACGATGCAAGGTGACTAGCAAACACAAGACTCTTCAGCTATATTTTACCTAAGTAAGCCTCTGAAAATATTTCAGCCCTCCTCATCTTCTTGCAAAAAATGTCTTTTTTGTTACTTTGTCAAATATTTTAGTTTCTCTCCATGATTACAAATGTCAAGATTAAGTGAGCTGTGTTGGGCGAAAGATTAGAAATGGTAATAAAAATAACCTGAACAAGACATGAATTCATTACTTCTGAAATAGTTGCCTAAGGAATGTACAACTAGTCTTTGAAGTGTATAATTAACATGACAAAAAGTTGAAAGCTATCAGTTTGGTTACTTCAGGACTTATTTTTCTTGTTACTAAAAACAAAAAACTCCCACCAGAATAGGAGATGAACATAAGGTCCTCAGGTTCAAACCAGCCCTACATCTGCTTCAATGTTCCCTAGCTGAGGAGAAAAAAAAAACCACATTAAGTAAATTCAACCTGATGAGTGTTTTGGTTCTTCAATGAACACAGGAACATTTGGATTCTCTACTCCTATATTATGCTATAAATTGTTCCCTAAGTAGGTCACCAAGGCGATTTCTGTTTCAAGACAAATCCTCTCTACATGAACCCACAAAACAAAACCAGAGCCTTGGCTGTCAGGGCCTTGATAGATCTCCATCAAGCCCACTGCTGTCAAAAAAGTAAGGGGAGTGCTCTTTTTAACTTGGCATCTGCTATCATGATTCAACTCTTTGCAGAGAAATATACTATTACTCCATATGGCAGCTTCCCCAATTGTAAAAGGGCAGCCAACTTCTATGGCAATGAGAGCCTCAGCAAATTAACAACTGAGTCTGGCACTAATGAATGCTCCACTGTCTCAATAGAAGGTAGCTGGAGGTTTCCTCACATGTTTTCTCTGAGCTTTGTTCTAGCAGGAGATGCTACAAGAAACAAACTGTGCTGCAAGCCCTTCAGAGATTTAATAACCCAAATACTTCACTTCCCTCCTGATCAAAGGAAGCAGCGACTTGAGAGTGCCTTGCTGAGAGTCCCCAGTGCTGTGGAGGCTGACTGGGACTGTCACCTCCACACTCCCCTCAGAGCAGGAGCCACATTTCACCACAGCTGACCCAAATGTCACCTCAGCTTCGTGACCTGGTTGCAGAGGGAATCCAGCTGTTCCAGAGGCTGGAAGGGCCCAAGAGGGTGGAAGGCAGGCCATGGAATTCATTCACTGTCTGTGCTCCTCCACTGCATGACTCTGCTTGGAGCCCAAGTGTGGGACTGCTCCTTTGAGTGCCAGAGGAGCTATTTCAAGCTGTTAGCCCAAAGACTCATCAATAAGTCATAAGGCCCAGAATGGAAGTCAAAAGAAGGGGAAAAAACAGTTGCTGAGACAGAATAAATAGTAACTTCCATTGCATCCTCTTAAACTAAAAAGAGAATGCTTCACAATACTCCTCTCTATGGGCTGCTACACTGCAGGAATCCAACCCAGTTCCACCTCCTGGAGACCTGAGGTGAGAGAGGCAGCTGCAGTGCAAGGTAACTGCATTTTGGGATCCTGGGAAAATCATCCTAGAGGACCCAGAGGTTATAAATCCTTGAAAGTATTTAACTCCAGAGCAAAACCAGGAGTTGCTGACCTCCACTCCACAGCATAGCAGCAGTGGGGAAGAACCTCCTGATGATTTCCAGAGCACTGGAGACAGTCTCTGGCCCAAAGCAGAGGGGGAACATCTCCCTGGATCTGTCCTGTCTTTATCAGATTGACAGCCCAATGTGATAAAGAGGCTCCCCCAGGGAGTGCTGTCCCTGCCATGCACCAACACCCTCATTAATGAAACATTAGCTGCTGACACCATTTCTCCTCTGCCTTTCCTGGAACACACACTTTGCCTTGGATTAAGCTGTCTGGGGCAGGGATGTGCCTTTGTGAAACAGGCTGGAATTTAAGAGCACTAGAGAAATATTAATCACTCAGCAGTTGCCATCTTCCCTGCAATTCCTTTAATTGCCTCCATTCTTACTGACAGCTCTCCCTGCCTGCTCCACCACAGGTACTTCCTCTGTTCAGACCTGCCCCAGTTCTTAAGCCCATTCAAACCTCATGCCCAGTTTACAGAACAGTGTAACTGCAAAAAAGCCCTTAATCTACACAGATGCAAGCAGTAGGTTTGAGGTGTTTGAAAAGCCATAAAATTCAACAAGTTTCCATTTCAGTTTTTCTGGGAGAAGCTTGGAAAAGGAAGAGGACTAAATTTTGGCCAGACTCAAGGCCCAGATCCATGAGGTCTGACTGTTTATACATGGTATTGTGTGATTAGAGTCTTACCTCACTGTTTTGGGCACCTGCTGAGCTCCCCCCTGCCCAGAACGAGACAATCCTTACCTGGAGGTTGTTCAGAGGCTCCATTTTCATGACTGGTCCCAGAGTGTTGAGGGGCAGGGAGACATCAATGCTTTGGTTTGGCATCAGAGGTGTGTGAATGGCCAGAGGGGTGCTTGGGATGACTCCAAAGCTGGGCAAGAGAGAAACAGAGGTGATGAGAGCAGCCCTGCATTGTCCAAAATATGTCCAAAATATAATGTTCCTTTTGTCAAGCACCACCTGCCTCATCTTCCCACTACTCCTGAGCTGCCCCTGCTGCTGCTCCAGGGAAGGAGCACAGCTCAAATGAGCAGAGAAAGCAGGACAAGGCATGGGAAACTCACTCATTTGCTGACAAATTCACCATCCTGCCCCAGGGCCCAGCTGCTGGGAGCTCTCCCATTACCCACAGGGCACTGGTCTGTGTGCTGAGCAAGGAATGACCTGGACTCAGAGCCAGGTGCTGTTCCTCTGCTCCTGAGCACTGCAGGGAGGGTGCATCACACACTGCATGGCTGCTGCAGTGGCACAGGGAGCAGGACAGCCAGCCAAGGAGGAACATGTGCCTTGGAACAGCACTGCAGAACAAATGAATCAACACATGCAGCTGCCTGGGCCTGAATGACAGCACCTGGCCCAGCTGCCTGCTTGGAGGCTCCTTCACTGGGGATGTGTCCCAGCAATGTTTACTTGCCTGTTCAGTCCAAGGAGCACTGAATTCCACAGGCAGCTCTGCTGAGCATGGAGAAGAGGGAAAACATCTCACATTGAACACAACCCTCCTGTACTACAGACCAGCTGCTTTCCAAAAGCAGATGGAAGCCCTGGTGTTTTGGTGTCCACTCATAAATGCATTTCTCTTTAGCAGGATTCACCTTAGCTCAGAGGTCTCAGGAGGTTTGCAGGATGGATAGGTGTATGTTTTTATTTTATTCACTAAAAGCCTGGCTCTGCACAGCCAGCCACATTTATCAGGTTTGTCATTCTTTCAGAAACCAATAAATGCCCCATTCTTGGTTCTCCTTAGTTTTCAGCTCTAGAAAGCTGAAATAGGAATATTCCTAGCAAGGGCTTAGCCACATGATTTGCCTTCTGCAGCCATTTCACCTTGGAGGACACAAACCCTCCTGTTTTCCCCAGGACTCAGAGGGGAACCAAACTTGCAGTTGGTTACTAAGGGGCTGTGATATTACAGCACACCAGAGCTTTAGATTTCTTTCATTTTTTTTTAATGCTTTATCCCAAGACTGCAGTGAATACCATTAGCAGCAGCAGGAAAGGAGGAAAAAGCAATAGAAACTTCCCAATCACAAACCTTAATATTCACACTTAAAGAACCAGCCCTAATGCAGCAGGCACAGTGGAAAGCATTGACAGGAGAAGAACATTTGTAAAAGAGTAAATAAATAGTTGTAGGTTGTATATGGAGCTTGTGCTGCAAGATGAAAAACTGCTGGTTTATTGTACAGTATTTAAACTTTCTACATCCTCAAAGCAGGTGTGGCTAAAATATAGCTTGATGTATGGGGGGAATAAAAAGAAAAAAATCACAAAATGCCTTTTGTTCCAGGTTAATTTGCATGAAACATTCATATACAGCAGCTTAGCAAAACTCTCCAGAAAATATGGCAGTCCAGGGAGAACATTTACTAAGACTTATTTAGCATAATGACTTTTCTAAGTAAATCTTATTCGTCCCAAGAAATCCTGAATTTGCAGCAGTGAGATTAAAGAGATGGTTTCAGTGGATCTTCAGCAGAGAGAAGCCTTTTCCAGTGAAGTGATATTAAGGAATACAGAGAACATGTCAGTCACAAGGTACTCTTTGCAGCCTTGATAAGAAGTAGCCTGGTCCTTGCTGAAGATAGCACCCAGCAAACCACAGGATAAGCTCTCTGGAAAGGGTATTTGTGGGAAGACACTGTGGCTGTGCTGCCATGTCATGTCCTTTGGCTGAGATGGGTTTCCAAGAACAATCTGAATTCCATCATCCAAGCTCTGAACTTTCAAGTGGCTGCTGCTTCTGACAGAATTGTTCTGCTGCCTATTACAGGGAGAACATGTGCCACAGGCTCCCAACTTGCAGCTCTTTCAGCAACAAGCAGCTTTATTAAAGAGTCCTGTGCTTCCAGACAGTCTGAGGAGCAGCAGAGCAATTAAGTCAGGAGGCAGAGGCATCATGGGTTGGTATTTGTGCAGCTCAGATCCTGCCTCTGTGTGCTCTTGCTTTGCCCAGGGCACTTACTGGCTATAAACTCACCAACCTGCCTAACAACTCATGAAGCTGCTGGAAAACTCCACTGAGGTGAAAAGGGGCAGATGCTGTTTCAGAGCTGGGAGAAGGATGGCACTGTCTGCTGCCTGCTTCCTCTCAGATTCATCAGTCTGTGTTTTCAGCCCTTTCACACCATTTTGGTGTGATGGAGAGGTCAGGCTGTATCATCCAAGCTATTTCCATGACTGCATTATACACCTAAGCACAAGCCCTCCTTAAATTTAGCATTGGAGGCACAAACTCCTTTCGCAGGAGGATTCAATCTGTTGAACATGGAGCATTGCTAATTTTTCCTTACCTGTTCTTATTGAACTGAATGGCAAAGTCAGTCATGTGCTGCAAAGCCTTATTGGTGAAGTTCATCTCCATGTAGATGTGTCCCTGCCTGTGGCTGAATGTGCCTGAGATCTCCAATCCTTTAGCTTTCACTGCAGGCAGCCAAACCTTGAACACAAGAGATTGAACACAAGAGATGTCATTCAGCATGGCCAGCCTGGCCTGAAGATAACAAACAAGCAGAGCTTTCCAATAGAGCTCAGAAACCCACCTGGATTGGCACACTGAGCCCACAAAAGCTAAAGAAACACTGCAGGGAAGATGGGACATGGGGTGTTGAAAGGATGGAGCTCACCACTGAGGAATAAACTTGCTGCTCCTAATCCATATTTGTTCACAGCACCCATGGAAGAAATCAAATTATGACAGCATTGGTGTGCACAAGAGCAGGGACAGCCTGTGTCCATCACAGCAGAATGAGACTCACCCAGCCTGCTGCTGGACTTCTCTGAGGGCTGGTTGGGCTGTCAGGGGCAGGACAACTAAAGTCTGAACCAAATAAAACCACAGGGCTGATACTATTATCTGTTGGGTTCTGGATTCTCAAATCACCTCTGTGGGAAAAACCCAGACCCAGATCTGAGTGGTGCAAAATGAGCCAGTACTTGCTCAAAATTACTGGGGTTTTTTGTTTTTGTTTTTTATTTTTTTAAATATAAAGTACAATAATTGCAAGGACCAAAAATTTTGAGTACTGTCTGCAGTACCTTGAGATCCTCTGTTTCAGAGGATGGTTTAAAATTACCCACCCATGGGGTGCTAATTGAGTGCTAATTTTTGTTTATTCCCTTTCAGGAGCCTGAGCCTCCTGTGGCTGCTCCACAGCCAGTTTGCAGAACCATGTTTTGTGTCTCATGATCCCTCCCAACTCCACGCTTCAGCCAAAGCCTCTGTGATCTCTGTCGCTGACAGAACATTTCTCTGCATTCCACTGCAGCACCATCATCCCAACCACATGATTTTATCTCCACTGTCACGTTGGATTCATCCAAACAAACAAACAAACAAACACACAAACCTGCTGGGAAAGTTGTTGCAAATTCTGTCTTGCCCTCAGTTTTCTGGGGAAGCTTGTTAAGAAGCAGGTCTGCAGGAAAGCTGCTCTGACACAACTGAAAGTCTGGGATTTATCTAAGCCATTCTTTAGAGAAATGCTGTCACAGGTAAAATGAGGCAACTGCTAGAATGCCAGAAGTCTGTAACCAATAACTAACATTCCAACATGTGCTTACTCTACTTGGGAAAAGCCCAGGGCACCCCTAATGGGATTGAGTTGAAGTTTTAGCACCAGAAAGCCACAATAAATGGGCCAAGTGAGCAATGTCACGTTTGTAGCTCAAGGGGAGGCAAGGAACTGGGGATGGTTGTTTCTCCTTACGTACAGACTTGGGAGCCACATATCCTCCAGGAGCCATCCCCATGCCAGATGAGAGCTCAAAGAGATCGTTGAGTCCACTGACCACTGCTGGGGTGGGAGAAGGGGCAAAGGTGGCTGGCACAGAGGAGGGAATGTAGGTCTGTCCCACCTGGAGGAGTCAAAAAGAACAGGCACTCATTAACATCACGTGTGAGCACTGCTTATTAAATAAACCATGAACTCGGGCAATATCCTAAATATTTTAAAGCCATTTGCAGCTTCCCCACTGATTTATCAATAGTGCTAAATTATGCATTTGAATTCCAAAGCTCTTGGCAGCTAATCCCTACACTCGGCTGTCACCTCAACCAAGCTTCCACATCATTTTTTATAGCTCCAGTTATCTATTCCCACTGTAGAGGAATCTTTCTTCTCCATATCTCCTTCTCATAACACAATATGCTTTGTGGATCTACCCTACATAAACCCAGGGAGAAGAGCAAATTTCTTCAAACCTTCCCCCAGCTACGTCAGTCTTGAGGAATCTGCAAGATTTTGCATATCCAGAGATAGCAAGGGAGTCATGACCGTGTTGTGTACTCCCACCCAAAGCCAGAGCTCTGCATGCTCAGCACTCGGGCCCTAAAGGTTCATTACATGAAGCAGAGCCTGCCAGAGGACAACCTTCCAACAAGAAGGGCAATCATTCCCTCCCAGGACCTAAATGAGGGCATCAAAGCTGGAATATTAACCTTTAGGTGCCCAGCTTCAGATAGGACAGTCACACTCAAGTTACACTCCCAAATTCTCTTCCTGTGCTTGAGATCAGGATTCCCCAGGCAGCAGCCCAGAAACAGGCAGAGGGACCAGGACAGAGGTGCCTGCTGGGTTTTTGCTGGCCCAGGAGGGCAGAGACCTGGCTTTGTAGGTATGATCACCATGGGGAAGCACCTCCCATGTCCTGCTGTGGGCTGCCTGGCTGTGCAGGTGTCCTGTGCCACCAGCTCTCCTCTGCCCTCGTGCTGAAGGAAGGAAGGAAGGCCAGATTGGCAGGGAAAGGAGGAGAGAGAACGACTGCAGCCATAACAAGGGTCTCTGCAAAGCCCTCCCTCCAGAACTGAGTTTGCTTTTCTCACTCAATTACTGGATCCAGAGTCCTGGGAAGAGGGACTGGAGCTTTCTAGGGGACACCTCTTCTGGCTGTGGGTTGGAAGCACACTCCCTCCTGCCCACTGCATCTCCAAGCCACGTTTCATTCCCTTTCCACGCTCTTCTGGAAGAAGCTGCCATGAGCTTGAAGCCAAGGCTGCTTTAAGAGCAACTTGAAACTGTCCCATGTCCTGGCAAGAGCTGTAGGCAGGAGGACACCCCCAAAGCACAGGCACAGAGGAGGTGGCAGCACTGACCACACAGAGTAGGAAAACTCAGAGCACCTGACCCTGATGTCCAAAAATCCTACATGGAGTTTGGGAGGAGAAAGCACTTGAGTTCAGGTAGGTCTGTGGTGACACTGGGTTAGGATTACAGGCCAGGCTTTGTGAGTAGGGATAAGCATCCTTGGCCTTTCAGCTGCTAAAGCAGTTGCACAAGGATGAGGCACTGCCAGGGTTAATGCTGCTGCTCCAACTAAAAGCTCTGAGGAAGAAGAGCTAAGCAGAGAGAGTGAACAGCTCTGGCCCTGGCTGCTCTCAGGAAAGCCCAGCTGGACTCAAATCAACATAGGTGGGGACCTGTGTGTTTCAGTTGCATTTCTCCATTTTCAAACAACTTCAGGGCTTTAAAAAGCACCTTCCAGCACTCAGTGGGTGAGCTTACAACTGAAAAACCCCTGAGCTTTGAGCAGCTTTGGAAATTGGGGAAAAAAATGGAATGGCACTTACTGCCGGGCTTCCTCCAATGCCCCCGCCAAGGTCACTGCCAAGCTGAAAGAGAGAAGGAGAGAGAGGAGAGGGAGAGGAGATCATTTCAGCCAAGTGTCAGCCAGCCAGCACGGACCACTCCTGCACAGGACAGATGGAAATGCAGTGCTGGGAAAGCACAGGGAGCAGAGGGGCTGCTGTGGGAGCAGAGTTACCTAGAGAATGCTGCTATGTGAGCAGAGTTACCTGCATTTGCAGAAGTTACTTCATCTGACTTACTCCAGCCCTGGGCTTGAGCTCTTCAGCAAAGCCTGGAGTCTGGCAAGGAGCTCCCAGAGGTCCTGCCTGCTCTGCTTGCTGAAAGGTTTTGGTTTGAGGACAACTACCCCATGCCTTCACTGTGGTTAATAAGAATAAAAATCCATCCCTTCTTGTGCCTGTTGTCTGCACCAAAACCTCCCTTTTCCACGTTTCATGCATTGGTGCTTTCCCCTCAGCCCTGCTGCTGCCAGCAGGACCCAAGCAGCTCCACAAAACCCAGTGGGGTAACTGTGAAATGGCATAAAAATAAAACTGACAGGAAGGCTCACTTCCTGAAAGCTTTAGTTTTCTAGGGAACAGCTAGGAGCCATGGGCAAACACAATGCACCTTGGCTGTGTTCCTCAGACAGCAGCTCCTTTCAGCACTGAGGAAGAAAAAGAATGGGATCTGTGCTGCCTCTGACAACAGCTCAGAGAGGGGGGGCTTTGAAGATGCTCCCCTCCCTCAGACAGGGAAAAAACAGCTTCATCATCCACAGCAAAGAGATCTCACAGTGCACCAGGCTATTTCAGTTCCAATTTCTGCCAAGCTGCACAGTCACATCTGAAGTGACCCAAACAGCTCTCCAGAAACACTAAATCCTCTCTGGGGCTCAACTAGAAGCTCTCCCCTCACAAGTTCCCTTTACAAAACACCCAGACCACATTTCCAGTGATAAAGTCCATTTTTCAAATCTCCACATCATTCTGCACGCTCAGGAGAATTCAGAGATCAGGACAGGCTCCAAGGCTTGGCTACAAGTGCTGTTTGCAAGTACATCACCCCTGTGAACAATTAAAATGCATTTAACAGATAACCAGGAGCAAACAAGCACAGATCTGCAGAGGTTAACTCACTGCAGAGACATCTCCAGGCTTATCTGTGTCCCAGGCTTTGCTTCTGAAGACCAGGGTAATTTGCTTTGCCTAGAACAGGGGTTTTTTGGGGTCACATTCAGACAAGGAACATGACCTGGCAACATCCACAGGGGATGAGGATGATGCAGGGCTGAGGTAAGAGCCAGCCCCATTAGGAAAAGGCTGGGCTGGCAGACCAGAACATCACAGCTCACCAGAGATGGTCTCACTCTACTCTTCCATTTCATTAGTTTGGGGAGTTAGTTTGGAGTTAGTTTGCTCTTAAAAAAGCATGTGAAAAACTGGGTCAACAAAGGCTCTGGATATGTTGCTCAAATAAGTGCTGGTGTGTCAGAATATTGAACAAATGCACCATATAGCTGAAGCAAAAGCTCCCAGGACTGCCTATGCTTAGAGCCAAAAAGGCTCTGACCTTTTCCCTCTGCACAAAAAACTTGGAAATTAACTTTGCTCTGATCCCCTCCAGCCTGTTCCCTGAGAGATCTCACAGCAAATGTGTTTTATGCTGGTCAAGAGACACCATAAAGCTTCATACCTCTCTCCATCAGAGCACAGATAAAAAGGATAAATTGCCCTGAGAAGAGCAGCAAAGGTGTAAGACAGTGACTTACCAGAAGATAACTAGCCTCCATAAAACCTGTAAAATGTGACAAATCCCTGTGCTCCCTGGATCTCTCTCCTATTCCCAGGCACCTCTCCCTCCCCATGTCCTCACAGGAGCGACATTAACCACTCCAAGTGGGTGCTAGGAAAGAACAAATCACACACAATTTGCTTTTTGTTAAGAGGCCTTAAGAGCTTTTTTCCTGTGTGGGACTCAGTTTATCCCTACTTGAGGCCATGGTAGAAGCTGAGAGAATCTCATCTTTTTCAACAGCCACCTCTCCACACAGCAGCCCAGGCTCTGGCTGTCCAGTTTTGCTCAGCTGACTTAAGAAATAACAGATAAATGTGAGTGATTCCAAAGTCAAAAGAAGGCTCAGTCAGAGACCAAAGGAAGCCAGCCAGAGGATGCAAATCCAATTAATATTGAGCTTATAAAATAAGGCTTATTACACTGTCAAGTCTCCCCCACTGAAACAGTCTGACAGAGCAGAGTTCTGTTCTATTGACTGCTCTCTAATCCAAGCCATGGTTTAGATTAATATATCACATCATTTACATCTTGTTACTGGCTCACTGAGGAGTAATAAATGCAACTATTACACCTCATCCCTATTCATAGTCTTGCATGCAGATGAACTTCAAGCTTTATATTGACAGGCAGCAAAGTCTGGGGGAGAAGAAAGAATCCAGTTAATTCCCAGGTATTATTGTATGCACACAGGATTTCTGGTTCTGTTGTCTGCAGCAGCAGAAAGGCTGGTTTATCAAGCAGCAAGCATTTTACAAAGGGTATTATGGAAATGACTGAATAATTCTGCATAATCAAGCCAGATGTTAACTATTCTAGCATTTCCTACTACACTCATCAGAAGGAGCTGCAGGGTAGGAACCCAACCTCGAAGCAGCTCCTACACTGATGGTGGCTGCAAGGGACAGGGAATGACATATTGGGGTTCCTTGAGCTATCCACAAGTCTTCCATTTTCCCTAAATGTCAGGCCTTGGGGGGGAAAGTAGAATGTGGATTTATTGCTTTAGTTAAGACTTCAGTTCTCATAAAAAGGAGAAAAAAAGCCCTGACTGGCTCAGAGAATTTACCAGGAGCCTCTGTGTGTTTTCAGATTGGATCCACCGTCTCTTTTCCATGGCAGGAAGCTCTGAGCTGCTGCAGCCCCTCTTTAGTGGCTGGAGGGCTCTGCAGAGCACAGCCTGAGCCTCTCCTGGCTCCTGTGCTCGGGCCCAAGCACTGCAGATGTGCTCCAGAGCTGCAGAAACAGAGCCAAGGAGCTGCAGCTCCTCCAGGTCCCTACGGGCAGAGCTGGCTCTAGCCTGACTGAAGAGAGAAGTGACAGCATTTCTACTGCACCAGAAGTTACAGGGGGGAAGTTAATAAAGAACTGATCAATTCCACATCAGATCCAGGTTGCCCTTCCCATTGCAGCAGCACAAAGTCTCTTTTTCTGTTTTTCTTGCCTGTCACCCTCCCATGGCACCGACGCTTTCCCCATTCAGGAACTGCAGGTCTGGTTTTCCTCCTGTGGGATGCCCAAATCATAACTTTATTCCAAACTCAAAGTGATGGAAGAGACTGTAACAGTGTGTGAGTAAGAGGGAAGGAGGAAGACAGAGAGAACAGGAACCAATTACCCACGGAGTGTCCTCTCCCATCTGGAGTGACAGGCAGAGTGCAGAAGGGAAGAAACAGAGATTAGTCAGGCTTGAAGTGCTGCTGAAGCAATTCCCCAGGACTGGCAGCTCTGGTTAACCATTTCCATTTGTCTCATGGGCAGACAGACACTCCTGCCAGGAGGACAACCTGGATGTGCCTTACAGGAGAGTCAGGAACAGCCCCACACAGGAGAAGACCACGTTAATACAGCTGCCAGCCCCACTTACTGTGAAGGTGGGTGGACAAGGGCTGGCTCTTGATGGTCCAAAGGAGTTCATGGCACTGCAAACCCCTGATTCTGATCCTAAAGCTGGCAGCCTGGAGAGCACAAAGCCTCTGCTTCAGGATGAAGAGCTGCCAGCTTCAGGAGATGAGCAGAGGATGGACAGGAAGTCTCAGCCCCCAGAGGCATAAAAGTTCTTCAAAGAGGAATTCTCTTTATTCCCTCCAAACCTATCCTGCCATAACAGCACCCAAGCAGCCACATGGGTTGAAAGAAGAGGCTGTATCAATAAAAGCAGTGCCAGCACCTTTTCCCAAACTGCATCAGCACCTTCACTTTGCACAAGTTGGCTCGGACGGTGCCGCAGCTGCTCTGCAGTTGGAGGCTCTGCCCTGCAATTCCAGCCCTGTGGAAGCAGTTATGCTGACTTATGAAGTGTAGCAGTGCTGGAGTTACTGCATTAGGAAGGGTTTATTTGCATCTTAAGAGCAGCTTGTAATGAAGTGACTCTGCTGAAGTGTTCATGTGATCCTGAGGGGCTACAATCACTTCTGCAAAATGACGTGAGGCTTTTGGAGCACCAAAAAATAACAGGGAGGGTGGAGCCAGGGACAAAAGCTTCAATAACCACTGCTCAGCAACTGCCTTGCCTTGTGCCCACAGCATCATCAGGGCTTCCAAAGGCAGCTGTGCATGTCCTGGACCACAATTCATGGCTTAACAGGGGACAATTGCCTTCTAGCTGCCTCACATCACAATCAGGAGTCAAGCACCAGCTCAAGGTGCTGCCTGCACTCAGCAAGAGAGCAGCAAGGAACACAAAGCATTTACCTAAGAGGAATGGGGTGAGATGCTGAGAGCAGGGCTGCTGGCAGCCCCCTTGGGGCAGGTTAACCCTGGGAGAGAGCCCTGAGCTGCAGGACAGACCATGCCTGGGCTGCAGGGATCTCACTGCAGACACACTGTGGCTCACACAGAGGCAGTTCAGAGCCTTGTTTGCTGCTGTTTTGTGGCTGTTTGCACACCAAGCCAGGATGGCAGAGCTCTCCAAACCAGGGACAGCTGTGTCAAAGCTGCTGGAGGACAGGTCACACTGCCAATAGCACAGTCACCAGTTCCGCTGCACTTGCTGCTAATGCTTTGTCCTGCTGAGAGATTTCCATCAGCAACCAAAGCTGAATCCTATCCATTTTCATTCTCCAAAGTGTAAAAAACAAGCTGCTCACAAAGCTCTAGCAGTCCTATGACTGCTACAACAGCTTTGAATCAGACATGAATGAGTGACCCACCAAAATAGCTCCTCTGCCACGCCAGCCCTGCCCCAGCAATGGATTTGTGTCCTTTGTCAGAAATCTTAACAGATTCCTTTATAGCTCATCAAACCTGCACAGCCCAGATGAAAGGAGTCATCCAGCTCCTTGTCAAAGGCTGGAGGAGCACTCTGGGAAAGGATCATCACATCCACTGCAAAAATGGATGTTGGGGCTGACCTGGCACAGCCACTCTCACACTGTAGTGCCAGGAAAAGGTAAATGAAGTAACTTTCCTAAGATTATACACAGCAAATCACTTGCAGAGCCAGGAGAGGAATGTGGCACCCCAGGGCAGACTGAAGGTCACTTTGGGGCTTTTTTATAAAACATTGCTGAGTCCCTAATCAACTCCAACACTCCAGGGTGTTGTCTATTGAGGCCAGACTTTGAATTCTCCACTTGAAAGCAGCCAGCCAGCCAGGGAGGGACAGCAGCAGCCCCTGCTCACAGCCCTGTGGATGAGGCAAGCACTTCAGACTGCTGGAATAGGGATTTCCTCCCAGGCTGCTGAGCCTGTGGTGCCTGGAGCTCAGGGTGAGCTGGTGCTCAGCTCCCACCTTCCATCCCATCACAGCCCTGAACAGTGTGGAACAGATCTTTGGGGTCAGATCCCCCTAAATCCATCCAGATTACACAGAGGGGCACAGCCCCACCTGTGACAGCCCAAACCACTCTCAGTATTACAGAAAACTGTGGATATTCAGTGTTTATCAAACAGCTTTTCAGTTTAGGACATAAATCAACCTGACCAGCTGCCAGTCTCGAATCAATAATATTCGTGTAGATGAGTGGCTAGAGCATTAAATAAAATCCTTACATAACAGACAATCCAAGCCTGTCCATTCCTGCAGATTTACTGCTCTGCCCAGGGGTTTCAAGCCAGCCTTCCTGGCTCCTGGCCACAGTGCCCTGCTCCCAGACAATGCAGGGGCTCCCAGGAAGCACAGTGTGCACACAGAGCTCTCAGGCTCTGTGGATTTGGACAACAAATGAACACACAGAAAAGGTTTAAAGGTAAAAATGTCATGTCAGCACAGACAGACATCCTGCAAAGCACTGCACCATTGCACAAGAGTTGGGTTAGTGACTGTAACCTGCATGAAATTCAGCCACTTGAGGGAAACCAGCATCAAACTCCAGCTCTTGGGATGTACAGCTCTGCACCCAGCAATCTGCTCTCCCACATGTTTTATTTCTCCCCCATTAGTGACTGCTATGGCTACTTTACACTGTGGAGCTGGAGATCCCAAGTAGTTTTGTAAAGTGGGGTTAGTCACCATTTTATAGAAAAAGAAAACTGAGCAGAGAAGAACAAGATCTGGCCATGGTGACAAACAAGGCCACAACCTGTTCCCTAGAAAAAAGCTCTCCAGAAATCCTACAGCAAGTCTGCTCTGCTTATAAGCAATCCTCTTGAACCAAAGGCCCTTTTTCTCCTCTTTTTAATTGTTAACACATGCTCAGCATCTGTGCAGGCATGTTACATTTAATGCCAATTACAGAACTCACTGTGGAGATAAAATAAGATTTACTCACTAAAGAAATTAACCTTGCAAGCAGCTGGAGTCTCACTAGTCATGGGCATAAATATCTGGCAGTGCTGAGGCCAATTCAAATGAACAATATTAATTTGGTGTTTGTGCAGTTTCACACCATTCACTCTCTATTTAAATGCCTGGATGAAAAATAAAAGCCCACAGTTTAAGGAATGGAAATAGAATGGCATTTTGCTAAGTTAATGCTGCTGTTGGTCTTTCTGGGTCAGTCCCATTGGGACTTTCACTACAAGAACATCCCTCTGATGAGATAAGGGGGCAGAAGAGGGGACCAGCAGATGACACCGAGTGGGTGTGACAAAGTGGCTGAGCTCCTGCCAGCAGCCTCTTGCAAACCTCCAGCTGCCTCTGAGGCACTCACAGGACTGGGGCAATGTCACCAGCACAGTGTGTGTCAGTCTGCCCAACAAAGCAGGGCAAGAAATGCATTAAAAAAAGCTTTAAGGAGTAACAAAAAGGGAAATTACAAAGCAGAACAATTCAAGCATTGCTGGCCCCCAGGTGTTTTTGATCCCTGGATAAGGGGGAAGATCTCAGCCCTTCTTCAAGGAGCACACTGGGATGTGTCTCACCTCCTTCCCACCCACACAAGTCAGGCCTGGGGGATCTGCAGTTTGAGACTGATTTTGGCATGGCACAAATGTGGTTTAATATTAGCCTGAGATCCAAATGCCAATCCTCTTGGCAAGCCCTGCAGCCCAGGGCACTTCCCAGCAATTTGGGTAATACCAGGTTAGGGTTAACCCAGCTTGAGACTTGTTAAACACATGCCCACAGCAACAAACAAACACACAGCTCACATTCACTCACTAATTAAGCTTATTATCCTAGGCTCATTTAGGTTACAAAAGACCTCCACAGCACTCCATCAGCACTGCCAAGGCCACCACTAAACCGTGTCCCCAAGTGCCACATCTACACGATTTTTAAGAGACCCTAGCACTGCCTTAGTGCCCACTGCAGGGCTTGAAAACCCTTTTGGTGAAGACAGATTTCCCAATATTCAATTTAAACCTCCCTTAGCACAAGTGGAGGCCATTCCCTCTCATCCTGTCACTTGTTACCTGAGAAAAGAGACTGACCAAAGGAAGGAAAAGCTGGAGTTTGATGCAACAGCCATCCAACAGAAAGCATCCACCTTCAAAAACCACACCAAGATTCAGATTTTTTTTTGCAGTGCTTCCCATCTACTCAGCTGAGAGAGCACTGGCCATGCCCCAGGCACAGCTACTCCCCACCCAGACAGGATCATTTTGTCAGATCACACTCCATAACCCCACAGATGTGCTTAAGGCTTGAGAAAAACATTAAGTAAAAGCCTGCTACCATTTCAACTAACAGCTCCACTGCCAGAGCAGGTCACAAAATTTAGCCCATTAATGCCAGCTGGGAGACAGCTCTTCTCCCAGAACCAAGTTTTACTTCTACTGTGCCCATTTATTTGTGTGACACTAATGAGGAACAAAGGGTTACTGTGAGAGGCCTGGAAGGCAGCAGAGAGGAATTTATGTGCAAGCCATGGTGTGGTACCCAGGCAGCAGCACCTTCTGCAATGCCTTCACTCCTGAAGTGCCTGTGCCAGGTGTGGAGAGGCACAGCTGGCAGTGCAGGGAGAGGCTGCAGAGCTCTCTGCTCTGCTCTCACTGTCTGCTTTCCCAGCAACTCCAGCTTGACCATTGTGCCAATCCCCAGTAAGAGCAGAGTCCCTGCTAGCCAAGGACCTGTGGTTAGAGAGTGCAGAGCCCACAGCACCTCTGCCCTCTGTGAGGGCCAGTCCCATTAAGGGTTAAATTGTTTCCAGCTCATTAGGCCATGAAGCACAGGAGCTGGAAATGTGTTTAACGTTTGCTTTAGTAAGCTTACTGTGGTTTAAAAAAATATGTATTTGACTAATAAGGATTTGTTGAATTGAGGATTGGTTCATCCAGCTGCCTCCTACCTCCGTTATTCAGAGCCTGACTCAGGCAGAGATGACCCAGCCCAACCCATCACAAACCAAACCTCAAGCAACCCAAACCCACTCCAAGTCTGAGAAGCACCCAACTATGTCCCCTGGGGCAGTCTTACTTGATCTGCATGGTGCAAACACACCTGGGAGAGCTTCTTCCCCCTGTGGGGAAGCCAGCAGGGAGCTGGGCATGTGTGTGCTGTGACCCTCAGAGCCAGCACTGACCTCTGCCCTGCTGCTGCTCCCTGCTCTGTGATGTTCTCCCTGCAGCTCATGCCCAGCTCCCTCCCCAGAGCAGAGGGGAGCTGGGATTGCTCCCAGTGCAGCCTGACCCTGTTAGTGCCAGGGCAAGTGCCTGGTGAGCAGCTCTGGAACAGGGAGGAGCGCCCAGAGAGCTCCCTCTTGACCCCACTGCAATTAAAATGTCACTGATATTAAACTAGGGCATGCTCTGGAGAACACACAAATGGGAAGACACAGGGTTACAGCCTGAGAGATTTAGCACTGAAATTCAGGAGGGCTGGGAATTGGGTGGAATAAATGCCTTCTTGAAAGGGAGCCTGATTCAAACAGAAAGCAGTGAAACACTTTCACATCCATAAAGCAACTTTCTGGTTTTCTTCTACAGGCAGAAAAAGCACAGAACAAATAGATCCACTGACCATGGGGATTCTACAGCATGCAGCAACATTCATTGTAGAGCAGGAAAAAGCCTGCTCAAAGTTGGTACAATAACTCTGGTTAAATCCTCCTGGAGTTTCAGGACCCAGCACTGGGAGTTTGGCTCACTGAGCATTAAAAGCACAAATAAGCTCCAGTTATCTCTCCAGTTATCAGCTAAAGAGGACGTGCTGCTTACCAAGCTGTCCAGCCCTCCTCCCAGGAGGTCCACAGCACCCATCTGCATGGTGGTCACTTGGGGCACATTCACAGGGGGCCCTAGGTCCAGGTTGAGGAGGTCCCCCAGGAGGTCACCCTGGGATGGGATGACCTGTGGCTGCTCCAGGTTTGTGGTGGTGGTGGTGCCCACGGGGCTGTCACCAGCATCAGTGCTGTGGGGGGAGAACAAGAAGCAGAAAGGACAAATGTCAGTCACCTCTGGTCTCCAGCTCAGGGTCCCAGCATGGGGAAACACAGCAAGAGGTGGTGCCAGCAGCCGCTGTGGCCACTGTCCTGCACCAGGCAGGGCTATGGCACCTGGCTCTTCACCACTTTGAGCACAAAGATTTTCCCTGCAGTGGATGTGGCTTTCAGCCCAGCAAAGGGAATCTTGCAAGGGGTGAACCCTTCCCACCCTGAGAATCAGAGACCCCCTCCAAAACAGAGAGCCATGGGTACCACATGGGATACAAAACTGAAAACAAGCATTTCCTACTTCAGAATGAACCTAAAGAGATGATTAAAGGCCCATTGGGTCTTGAGGATGACATGAAAACACAGGGGAAAATAAATAATCCAGATTTTCTTGGAGATGTAACACTGATAAAACCCTTGAGCCCTTACTCTAACCAGTGCAAACTTCAGCACTTCACTCAGATCTAGATTAATCACCTTCTCCTGACCAGCAGCAAGGTCCATCAGTCTTTCCTAATTGAAAAACTCAATCCAAAATTGATTCCTCCCTTCTATCAATAATTTCCTTTCCTCTGAGTTAGCAGGCATGCTAATTACTAGTCTAGAAACACTCATTATACAGCTTCCAAAATTTATCATCATATGCAGTCTGGCTACCTTTTGTATCTTTTATATCCACTTGTGACTGAATTTGATAACAAAGAGAAGGTAAAAAATAACTGGAGAACTCACTACAATGTATTTATTCCTTAAATCCAGAGATGCTCATATTTTAGATGATTAAATTTTTATATCCTGTTTCCAGCAGGAACTGATAAAATGATTTTTTAGCTCATGTTACTGCAGCCAGCAGTTAGTGCCCACAATTGCTGTGGGAATTAGTGTCCTGACAAGGTGTTTAACTCTGGGGCTGTTCTGCAAGCACTGCAGCTTCTGATTCTGAGTAGCCAAAATTCTCTTAACCTCATTCAGCTGTTGAGGGGAAAGATTCAGTGACAGAGTATAAGCTGCTCCCAATGCCAGTGCCAGGAGGAAAAGATGGAGCATAAGGAGTGCAGAGTGAATTAGTTACCAGGCAGCAGCAGGAAGGCTTGAAAGCTTCTTCTTTGCATTAAAAGCTTTAGAGCCCCAATAGCACTAATATTAGCTGTCCTTTCTGCTGCTGCCTTCAGCAGGGAGAGTGCTGAGTGAGCTGAAGCACTCACTGAGGCATTCCTGAGGAGAGGTGGTGACTGTGATCCATCCACTCCCACCCCCAGGCTGGGAACAGGAACAGCCTCTCTGGGAGAGGCACATCACAAACCACTCTGCTCCTTCCCAGGATATAATCCCTCCAACACTCCACCCCTTCAACACTTACTCATCCTTCTCCTGATGGAGACACAGAAGTCCCTCCATGTCTTGTGTAACTGCTGCTGCCCCAAAGCCCAACAAGAAATGAGGAAAGGACAAAGCTCAGTTGGTTTGTTTGAAAAAAGCAAAACCCCAGACTTCCATTGGTAAAGAACCTCTTTAAAGAGATTTCTATAAACAACTTTGCATTTTCTTTGAAAGAAAAGAAATGAATAAAGAATATGTGGGTTAAAAGGGGCAAAAAGACTTGATACAAGCTTTCCCCCTGACAGACTTGGGTTTGGCCATGGGAATTGGAAATTTGGCCATGAATTGAATTGAATGGGAAGTTCTGATTGAATTTGGAAGTTCAGCCTCCAGCAGTTCCCAGATGCTGGAGTCACAAGGGATGCACAGCCTGAATCAGAATCCAAAATTCTCTGCAGCTACCTGTGAAACAGGGAAATAGAGACACCTGCCCAAGTCTAATCAGACTTGCTTGTCCCAGGAGCCCTGTGAACATCTTCCCAAATTTCCCAGCTGAACTATGGCTGAGCAGGGGTGGTGGGAGCCACCACAGGAGGAAACACTGCCAAGCCATCAGATTGCTCCCCACCCTCAGGACACATCTGCAGCTCTGTGACACTTGGGCCTGCTGGAGAGAGGCAGGAACATTTCACTATCTGTGAGCTGTTCAATGGGTCTTCCCATCAGCTGAGAGCTGCAAGAAACCTGCCCTACAGTGCTCTGAATGGAAAATGAATGAATCCAAATGCCATGTAGGGTGTTCTGCCAACCAAAACTCCTCTGGGTTTATAGCCAGGGAAGCACCACTCAAGGCAGTGCTGCCTTGCCCCTCTTAAACCACATTCACTGTGGACATCTCCCCATTCCCATCAGTCTCTACCACAAGGATCAGCCACCAGAATGGTCACTGGAGTGCAGGAGTTGTATAGAAAATCACTTCACTCACTGTTTGGAATTCTCTTTCACTGGGCACCCTCAACTTGCCTTAAACTGATGCAGAAAACCCCAATATTGGGGCCTTTTGAGGTGAGCTCCCACCAGAGAAGCCTGGTGTGGCATTAACTAACCCCACTCATTTTTAAATTTATCCCTGCATCAGCATGATCAGTGTGCAGCATGCTCTGCTGAGCATCCCTCAGACCTTCCCCCAGCTTGCACTGCTGACTGAGGCCTGGGGGTTTGTTTTTTGAGGCTTTTTGAAGCAATGGTTCTGCCAAAATCAGAAAATACTTAAGGTCAGCAGACTGAGCATGAGCAATGAGAGTCCAGCACAGAGACACTGCACGCAAGAAGATCATAAACTGCTCCTTCAAAAAGCTGAATTCTCTGAGCTAAATCCCCTAAAATGCTATTTGCTGTAGTGACCTGGAACAACAGTGTACAGGAAGGTTGGTAACACCAAAAATCAGCTCATTCTGAGACAAATCTTTGATTAGGAGAGGTAGGAAAGTGGTCACTGCTTTTCCTGCCCAACTGGTACATCTGTACTTGCTGATTCTAGGTCAGTGCAGCCAGACTTGATTTCATAGGCAGGGAGAAAACAACTCAGCTTCCCAAAGCCAGCCACCACAGAAATAGCTTTAGTTGCTAAGAATAGCGGAGAAGTGGTGTCAGAAAATAGAAAAGAAGCAGCATCACACACTGATTTATCAGTGCAACAGCAAAAAATAGCTCTCCAAATGTCACTTTGGGAATATTATTAAGAGGTAAGCCTGGCTACTCTGCCTCTTGCTGCAAAATACACTCATTTTTGTAATTAATACCATTAGTGCAAATAGCAAACTGTTCACCTGAATGAGGGAGCATGGGAACAGGCCCAGCAGCAACACAGCCCCAGCTGGGACTGAGGCACTGTCTGCTCCTGCAGAACTGACCTGCTGCCAGAACTGTGATCCAGGGAGGCACTGAGGCCCCAGGCAGTGAGCCAAAGCATTTCCCCCACCTCACAAAGGTCAGACAAACCATGTCACTCTACCCATCTTTTTTTGAGCCCCAAGAGGTTTAGGTGGCTTTTGCACTTTCCTTGCTTTACAGGCTCCAAGTGAGAAACGGAGTTTTATCAATCCTGCTCCATTTCATGTTGCAGCAGTGAAAGATCCCTGTAATTCCTGTTCCAGGAAAGTGATGCTGCATTCCAGGAGACAGGTTCATAAAGCTGAGCTGGTGCTGAAGCAAAGCTCCTACAAAATCTTCTTCTGAAAGATGCCTGCTCTCACTCTAGTCCTCCTTGCAACAGTCATCCAAAGCCTCTGCTTTTCTACTCAAATTCATGTCAAGAGCTCTTTTAATTCATGTCTTCTCAAAAAACATCCCAGCTTCTCCTCACACAGGAACTTTGATACTTCCTGTGTCTTCTAACCCAGGAACTTGGACACTCCATACCCAGGATTACATTCTGCAATGAAACGGCCCCTGGAACAACCTGCAAGCTATCAACAAAATCCCTCTAGGATCTTCTAAAAGATCCTGGCATCTTTTGGACTGTTTGCTAGAAAGAAACCACCAACCCCTGATCCCCAGGCTGCCTGAGCTCACCTGCCATGGTGGATGGGCAGGTGCTTGCGGTGGATGCCGTGGCTGCCCTCCACGAAAGCGTTGGGTGGCTTGTGGTACACAGAAGCCAGAGACCCAATGTGGCAGATCAGCTCATCCAGCAGGGTTGGCTCAATCAGATCAGTCTCCTCAGAAATCAGGGGCTTTTCTGAGAGCACCACTTCCTTGGCAGTCACTGGATCCGTGGAAAGAAGGCGCCAGTAGATGTAGCCACGATCCCGCAGGTCTGGGTTGTCAGAATCCTGAGACAGAGCAATGCATCACTCACAGGTCTCAAATCAACTCATGCCTGTAATCACTTCATTCTTCTGGATTAAAAATCCCCAACCAGCCAGCAGCCACAGCCACCAATCTCAAAATGATGTTATAAACTGCTTGTTGAGATGAACATCTTAAAATTAAAAATGAGAACCAAAGCATTAATGGCTTCCTGCTCAGCTGGTCAGGGAGGAGAAATCCCAGGATTTACACCCCACAATTGCCCCAAACCACAGAGTTGCCAACTCCTTCCAAACTTTCCTGCCACTAAGTGTTAGGAGAAATGCAGAGAAAAGAACATGAGTGGCAAAGACTGGTGCACACTAAGAGCAGACACACAACACTGCATAATGATCCAAGATTCCTGGAAACATGACTTACCCAAGGCACTGCTGGACAAAAAAGATGCTGCAGAACCACATCTTAATAAGCCATATTCTTTATAGCAAAAGAGATCTTAATTTATCCTGCCTTTTAGTTATCTAATGAAGTATGGAGAGATGCTAATGATACACACTTAGGGTACTTCATCAGTTCTCCAGCTGTCAATAATACCCTTGTTTTATTGCAGATACTTTTGCCTCTGCATGAAGTGCTAATTATTTCTCTCCTCTTTGAGCAGCTCTGCCCAGAGCAGCAAAGTGAGTGGGGATGGTTTGCTGATCATGTTCTAGGGAGAGGGAGGTGCTGTGGTTTTACGTTGTAGTGAACTGTTCATGGAAACAAGAGCTCAGGTTTTTAATCTTCATTTCAGCAGAATAGCAGGAGAAATGTTAGAGGCTTTTCCTCCTGATAAAATTCCAGCAAAATATTGTACACCTCACTAGCCTTTCCTTGGCATTTCTTTTTCTCTTCTGTGCTCTCATTGCTGCCCTGTTAGAATCTGCATCTGCCATCTGCCTCAAGACATTCTCAAACCTCTTCTTGGAATGAGACTGAGCTCAGCTCATTTTGCTGGTAAGGACCTAAATTAATCTCTCTGTTGTCTCACACATTATCTCTGCAGAGCTGGTTTTGTTTGATGGGAGAATTGTGGACTCTTTACACTTTAACAATCCCTCCCAGACTGTGCACTCAGGATCAGGCAGGGTTTCTGCAAGGGCACACATGAAAGGCTACACTCTCCTACTTGCAGGCACTTCAGATTCAAGGCTGACTGTTTCTTCTCACAGCCAAAAAACCACACTGGAAACTGGTAAACCTACTGAAAAAAGAGGCTCAAATCTCTCCAAACTCTCCCCTCTCCAGGGTCTGCATGCACACCTGTGGAGCAACACAATGAACCCTGGCTAGCTCAGCTCCCCACCCATGCATCAGCAATGGGGATGCAGAGGTCTGAGACTCTGAGACCTCAATTCCTGTGTTTCTGCCAGCCCCAGCTGCTCCACTGCTATTTTTACCAGAGCTGGCTGGATGGAGCTGGCTCCTGCTACAGTCACACCTGCAGTCTGCTGGGCTGACAAGCCCTGAGACACTCAAAGTGCAACAATACCTAAGCTGGGGAAAGAAACACACATGTAATTACTCTCCCACTCAAGTGAAAAACACCATCTCTACCTAGAAATCAGACCTTGAAGCAGAAGGTTTTTCAATGTTTTACAGCCAGTTATCCTACATTGACTTATTATTCATAAAAAATACAAAAAGCCAGACTGAATCAACATTGGTGACAAACAGAGAAACAAACCCAGACGCCTGTTACATTCTGAGGGTGCCATTAAATGTTCTGTGAGTCAGCACAGTGGGTTTTAGCACTTAGTACCTCTCTTCTGTTGGCTCAGGAAAATGATACAGCATGCCCTTGGCCCACTCCTCTCTGAAGAGCAGCTCAGATCCTGCCTAACAGCAGGTTTTGAAGTAAGAAAAGCAGGTCATGGGTTTGTTGCTGCTGACCAATGCAACTCCCCCAAAGGAATGAATAAAAGTTTGAAGTGCAGCAAATCCACAGCAATGATTTCTTGCAGCAAAGAGGATCAAAAAGGCCAGCTGATGATTGACTCCAGGTTTTCTGCTCAGAAACAATCACAGCCCATTCAGCTGGCAGACTATTTTTATCACTTGACACAGCAGGTCTGGAGAGGAGCTGGTTTTTTTTGGGCACTTTACCCCAGTCATTGGAGCCAAGGAGTGCAGAAAGATCAGCTGAGCTCTTACCCACCCCTGCCACCAGGATATCACCTCTGTCCTCTGGAACTACAGCAGTTGTGACTGCCAGCTCAAGCCCAGCCTTGCCTGCAGTGATCTGAGCTCATAACTCAGCATCTCATGCATAATGAATCCATGATCTTAACCCACTGCTACAGCCTCCAGCAAAGCTGCCACATTGGCTGACAGCATCCAAGTACAAAGGCAAAAACCCCAAAACTCAGTTATTTCTTTTTCATAGCACTGCTTAAAGTTTGCTGTTCACAGAACAAAGTCTTCCTTGCCTCTGTTATAGCTCCAGATGTTTCACTGCAAGCCACCTTCAAGGAGAAAGAATTTTGGTTTCTTGATAATTCTACACTGTCCCTAACTTTCCATCATTTAGTGAGTGAATGGGGAAGGAATTTAGATAAAGCAAGAGCTAAGAAGTAGAAAGCAGATTCCAGATGGTAACAGGCACAGAGCAGCTTTTACACAGAGCCTCTTTGGGAGAGAAGGGAACACCCTTGAATCTGATCTACTGCAAAGCTGCCTGGCCTGGCAGCTGGGAGACATCAGCCAGCAGAGTGTCTGCAGGGCTCTGGGTCACTGGATACCTTGGCTTACCTGTGTGGCCAGGCTGAGGACCTGCTGGACCAGCTCCTGTGTCTCAGAAGGCTTTTTCAAGAACAGCTTCACTATTGCAGTCAGGAGAGTGAGCTGCACCTAAGAGAGAGGGGCACAGGAGAGATTAGAAATTCCTTTAGTGATACAAAACATGGCTTCAGTTTCCTCACAGCATGACACTGCTCTTTGCCAGTGAAACCCAGTACAATGAGATTGAAATCCTTGCCTGTTGCAAAACACTTTCACAGACAAGTCCCTGAGCAGCAGGCTGAGGTTGGTGTCATATGCCCAGTACAGCCATTCCCCCAAGAAATATGCAACCTTTGGAACCCCCTCTTGTGCTTCCAAGATGGGAATTTTTGGAGACACACCAAAACTGCAGATTCCCAAGAGTTTTATGTTAGCCCAATATTGAAGCTTTTATTGACAAGTATTGTCTGAGCACTGCAATAACATTTACTGTCCATCCCATAAACACACTGCACAAAACACTACAGATAAAATGCACATTGCAACTTTTACCTGAGTACTTTCATCATGGAAACCCTCCAGGAAACTCTCCAGCAGCTCATCTGCATTGTCAATTCTTTCAGCATATTCACCCACAATCCAGATCATGGCAGCTCTGGCATCTGGCTCATCCAGGGAATCCAGGTTCTCACACAGAGTGGCAATGATGCTCTCATACCTGGTTTGTCAGAGTACAGGTGGATTACTGGGAAGAACTGGACTTGTTTCACTCCATTTCTGCCCACATCATTCTGCAGAGAATCCTGCACTCACATCATGTTTTGTGTTTCTATACAACAAGCAGCATTTGCATTCAATTATTTTTTTTTTCCCTCCCAAAGCTGAGCACTGAGATCTCACAAGGTCTCTGCAGTTTAATCCATCAGCAAGACCACCCAGATGTGGAGTTTAAGATAAAGCTGCCTTCTGTTCTGTTTGCTAATGGGAATATTTGATCCAACAGTTCAAACCACGAGTCTGAATCAGATCCTGCAGCCTTGCTGGAGGCTCCAGCCTGGTAACTCTGAATTGGGTATTGCACTCCCCCAAGGCTTTACTGTAAACCAGACAATATCCCACAATAATTTAGCTTCCCTTACTCCCATGTCTGGGTATCCCCACAAGCAGGGAATTTCTGAGACTGACAGCAGAAATTGCCAGAGAAACCTGCAGATGTCCCATATTATTTTTTAGGTGATCATGAAGTCTCTGCTGAAAAAACATTGCTGCAGTTTTGTGGCTGAGGAGACAAAATCTTACTGCAGAACCAAGAGAAGCTGAGTTCTGCCCAAGCCAGAGGGAACACCTGGTGGGAAAGGCCAGCAGTGCTTTGTTTATAGCACAACCTGACTGGATCTGGGACCATGGGAGCCATGAACTTTCACAGCCCTGTGAGGACACTTGTACACTTCATGGATTTCTAGAGGGGATTAAAACCAGAACAGCCTGATGCTGTAAACCTGGCCAAATTTCCCTTCTGGCATTCCCCTGCAAGAGCTTTACTGGCTTTTGATCCAGCCTTCAGCATGGAGTGGTGGGGAAGGAAAACTTTTCAATTCAAACTAACAACAAGCCAGGCTGACACCTCATCTAGAGCCTCCTACCAAACCAGGAGGGGGATCACTGCTTCCAGGTTTGCTTCAGAGCCCTGCTGAGCAGAGAGCTGCTCTATTCTGATGATGGCAGCCAAGAGCTTCCAGAACACCCTGAAGTTTCCACCTACTTGTTGGGGTACTTGCGGAAGATGTCCCTGATGACCACGATGGCCTCCTGCACCACGTAGTTCACCTTGGTCTGGATGAGGTCCAGCAGGGTGCTCACACAGCGCTCTGCAGATTGCTGGAGACAGCACAAAAACACCATTTAAAAAGCTGAAGAAACACTCCTGCTCCCACAGCACTCACTGAGGAATGTGGTATGTGTGTGAGGAAAGGCCCAGAGGACAAGAGCTACAAACTCTGCCCAGAAATGAACTACAGGGGAACAAAAGGTTGCTACAGTGGGGACACCAGCTGGCTCCAGCTCCTCTAGAAAGTAAGAGGAGCAACTGTGCCAGCAGAAAGTTGGGTCACCACACAAGAGACCTTGGGAACATCACCTACACTGCTCTTTGTACCACCCTGGGGCTGGTATAGGCCACTGAATGAGCTCTCTGGAGCTTCCCATGCCAGGCAATCAGAGCTGGCAAAGTTCTGATAGGGACTGCAGGAAAGTTTCTAGCAAAGCCAGAAGGCAGGAGAAAACAGTGCTGTCAAAACCAGCAGCAAAAAGCAGCAACAGGTTCAGTATTTTTGGGGTGAGGTCACTAACAACATGTGAAATGCACAGCTAAAAACAGAAATTCAGCTGCTCCTAATGCAGCTTTCAATTAATTAGTTCAATTCACAGGCACTGCAAGATAACAAAGACTGGACACTGTCATGCTCCAGGAGCCAGGAGTGGAGTTAGAGGCAGATAATTCAGGGAGGTCTATTCCCAAACAGCACAGTGAGACAGGACATCACAGGAGCAACCACCTCCAGCAGCAGAGTCTCAAATAAGGGCAGTGATTTGGTTATTAGCAGAGCACACATGAAGCCTCATTACACAGCTGGTGATTAATGTGAGAAGCAGACTGCTCCCAACACTGCCTTCAGAACACTCATAAAGGATTCAGGCTGGAGACAAACACTGTGGGGCACAAACAACAGCAATGTAGGTGGATTTTTCAATTCCAGTGAGTTAACAGCTCCCTCAACTTACAGTGCACTTAAAGGCTGGGCAGGAGGAGGAGGAGTGAAATGGCATTTTAGTCACAGCAATCAGTTCTCTGAGAATGGGCAAAAATGTCAAGGACAAACCTCAGGAATTTGGGTCAGAGACTAAAACCTTCTGGCAGCTTCCTGCCCTCCTGGGTACCTCACACAGGGCCTGTCAGCACAGACAGGCTGACATGAGGATCAGCCAGGGCAGGATCAACACAAACCAGCACTTGCTCTGCCTTTGCAAACTGGCAGTAAGTCATAAAGCTCTCCCCTGAAATTCACACCAAACAGAAGAAAAATCCAATACAATTGGTGTCAGAGAGGCATCACATAAAAATGGGTGATTGCTGTAATATTCTTTTATGATACCTCTCCCTCCTTAGCTCAGCTTTATGGGTACTGTGGCACTACAGGGGCACTGAATGGCAACCTGACCATGTCTTGCTCTGATCCCTTCTGCTCCAGAAGGCATTTGAGGCTGTCACCTGGAAGACACTTCCAATTCATGGGAGCTGACCATGGACCTGGCTCCACACACTGACCTGGCTCACAGTGGGAGCCCTGCTCAAAGTCCTTGCAAGAGAGATGCTTCAGAGCTTCAAATTTCACCTCCTCATCTCAGTAACTTTCTTCTGATACTTTAACAAGTGACCTGATGGGGTAAATCTGTGCCACATCCATCTACAGAATCTACAGCACCAGCCACTGCTGGCAACAAGCACTGCAGCCCTGTCAGAGCCTACAACTAACAGAGCTTTAGGAGCTGTACAGTTCAAGGAAAAGCAAATTAAAGTTTTTCTTTTCTTTAGATGCTTTGAAGTGTAATTTTTTCCAGGAAAAGCACAACATCCACTTTGAAATACACAGCAATGATTTTTAGCCAAAGAGTCCCTTGGAAAGTGAGCAGTGGTGGGCACATGCCCAGAAGAGCAGTCTCTCTAACAAAAACCATCTCAGCTCACCCCATCCCTTGTAAACACACAGCTTTTTGAAGGTGGACATCCTTGGGGACAGCAGAGCTCTGCAGACTGATGAAACAGTGCTCAACTCAAACAGCTTTTAAGTTGGAGTGAGGAAGGACAAGAAACCAATGTCAAAATTGCTTTGTTTTTCTGCAGAAAGCAAATGAAAGCCCACAAGATTATTGAAGTAGCACATATCACACTCAGCCATGAGCCTCAATGATTTCTAAGAACCAGGCTGCTGGCAGAATCTCTTGGAAACGAGACAAATATCCCTGTAAGATGGCTCCTTCTGCTTTTCTCCTTTGCTCCAGAGGAACCCCTGTCTTTACTGCATCCACTTCATTTCCTTTTCCCACAGGAGTGGTGCTTGTTTTGCTAAAAACCAAAGCATGGAATGATGGTTTCTTGTGATGTTGCCACTGGAGCAAACCAATTCACAAGGCAGACACGTGCAATTACACCAGAGTTTGCTGTAGATAAACCCAAATTAACTCTGAGCTCAGCTAGCAATAATCCAGCAATATCCATGCAAAATGTTCTGACATCCCCCAAAACAATGTGATTGCTCAAGCCTGGGCAAAATCTTGTTACTCAGTGTGGGTGTTGGTTCCATATCCCAAAGCAGCACCAGGAGCAAAGGGAACACCACATTTGCTTTGTGGTGCACCTCTCAGCAGACAAATTTATTTCTGTCTCACTCTCCAAGGAGTGACAATTAGACAGAAGATAGGATCCCTAAAGGCAGAGCTGAGGTGCTCTGTGAATCCTCATTCATCAACAGCTCCTACTGGCTGTGTCCTCTGTCAAAAATCAAATTTCTGAGCTTTGGGAACTTGGGCACTGATGGCTGTGAGGATGCTCTCCCATTAGTCATAATTCACAGTGTAAACAGCCTCTAGTAAAAACACAGATGCACTGGGGACAGGGATTAACCTAGGGATGAGGAAAAACTGTCATGAGGTGTTCTATGTATCTCTTTAAATCTGGTTCTTGTCAGAGCAGGAAACAGATCTCACCCTTAGTAGCAGCAGTGCCAAAAATCAAGGTTAAAATTGTTGATGGAGAGGCACAATTACAATTAGAGGGTCACTACAGGGACATCATTACTAGTCATTTGCTTATCAAATAGGACTGGTGAGGTATCAGGGATGGGGAAAAATGTGGAGGATGAGGGCAGGAAAGGGTAAAAACTTCTAAAAACACCTTGATGCTGCAGGAATACACCACCCTCCTTGCAACTAGGACATGCACAAGGCTAAATCCTAGTGAGAAAGTCCCTGCTGAGAACTAAAACAAATTCCCACCCTGCCAGCACAGCACTGCTACAAAAAGCATTGTGACCAGCTCCTTTTAAACTTCTCTGTAGCCCTTTTCCATGCTCAGGGGGGTTTTCTACAGTCACTGCTGTGGCTCCTGCCTGGATGCAGCATGGAAGGAGTGCTCTGGTATTTTGAAGTGCAGACATAAAACAGAAGCAGCAGCCCCTGCTCCATGGGGCCATGCTTCAAAGAAAGCCCCTGGCAGTGACAAACCTTTGAGAGCTGAAGGAAGCAAGGGAGAGCTGCACAAAGGGGCAGCTGATTCTCTCCAGAGGACAGAAGTTGGTGTCCTCTGTGCACAGGCTTGCAGTAGCTCAGCTGAAACAAGAGAATCCTGTGCACTGACACCACACTAAGCCAGGCATGATTAGGTTATTATTTAAATCTGCTGTCAGGCAATGCTCATGGGAACACACTTGAGCAAAAGCTAAATGAGCTCAGCTGAAATTAGAGCACTTTATGTGACATTCTGCACTCAGTCATCAGTTTACTGAAAAGTACCAACACCACAGCACAAATCTTCCCCCTCTTCACAGGATTTCTGAGCTCCTGACAGGCATTTCAGATTCACTTACAGTGAAATTAACAGACACATCACTAAAAAAACAATATTCTATTATGAGCACTTAGGTGGATGTTCCACTGGCAGAGGACATTTCAGACTTGTTTTGGAAAATTGCAGAGATTCCTGGGAACTTGTTTGCATAAGCATTGAGGTAAAAGAGAGCACACTCCAAATGAAGTTTACAAGTTATAGGGATGGATTTATGTAAGTAGAGTCACTCTGTTTGTATAAATTGCATTTAAGTGCCCCAAATCTCTGCAATTCTCTGTGTTCTGTTCTTCTGAAATGGAGGGGAGGGATGACACAAAATGCTTCATAATACTGAATTTCTCTATACAATATCTTCTTCTTCTCCCTTCAAAAGGTCAGGCCACAGCTATTAAAGGATTTGGATGGATAAGTGGTCATTGTTCCACTAAAGCAAATACAGTAAAATATTCCATCAAGGATGAATGACCTGCCTTGCTCTGCCTGCAAGATGAGAAGAGCACCCACCCTCCCATGATGTCCTCACAGCTCACACCCTGCTCAGGGCTGCTCTGCCCATAACCAGGATGCATCCAGGCCACTTGAGGGCCACCACTGAAATTGCAGCACCATGGAAATGAGGTGGCAAAGCCCAGCATTGTTTCTGAAGACAGGGAACCAGAGAGAGCCCCCAGGGTGAGATACTTGCCTCCACCTTGATGGCGCAGCGGCCGATGGCGCGCACGGCCTTGCGCACGAAGTCCACGTCCACCTCGGTGGCGTATTCCTTCAGCTCTGCCAGGACCTGTGGGGACACCACACCACTGTCAGCCCCTGGGGACACTCAGAGAGCAGCCCACCCTCACAGGTGATGCTGCTTGGGCACCAGAAGATGAGTAGGATATCCCTTCACAGCTACCACACACGTCCGGCCCAAGCCTGCCATCAGCCCACTGGTTTGGTTCTCCTGGTGTCTAATCCAACCTGGCCTAAGTTACACTTGGTGTAGGCTGGACAAAGTCAAAAGGTGGCCTGGTCTTGATTACTTTCAATCCCCCTGAACAAGAGCTGAGGACAAATCAGCCCTGCCAAACTTCAAGGTTTCTATTCCTTCCTGCACTGAAAAGATATTTGCTGTGTGCAAAGCTCTCGGCAACAACCATTTTTGATCCCTCCTTTTCTGTGCTGAGATGAACCTTTGGATCCCTGGTGAATCCAAACAGAAGATGCAGAGGAGATCTAAAGACACCCTGGAACATCTACACACAGATTAATAACAGCATGAAGATACTTCCCCTTGTAAAAGTAAGATTTATTATTTTGTCTCACTGTTTTGCTAATGGAAACTGATGAAGGGCTAAACCCAGGATCTGCTGGGATCTTACAGACCTTTAACTAAAAAGCTTTGTCTTAAATCACTTAGCTTACAAAAAATTATTTCAAGAAAAGACCATATATAATTTATATTCCCTCAAAAGCTCAATTTATTTCAGTTTCTCATGCCAAACATGACATCAGGGTTTTAATCGTGATGTCACAAATAGATGGTGAGGGAGAGGGGAGCAGCACAAAGCCAGACAGTCCTTTGAAAAATCTCTCATCCAAGCAAATTGCTCAGAAGAATGACAAGATAAAGAGGCCATGAAGGGCCAGACTGCAGACAGATAAATCTGCAAGGAGGAGACAGGACATCTGTGTTTTGAAGTTTTATTATTTCCTTGGATGATCTACATTGCACAGCACTTGGAGCACCTGCCTTTAGCAGCTGATGCTTCCCAAACACTGCCCAAGGCCAGGGCTGGAACCATCCTGGTGCCCTGGTCCAGGATGGGCACAGGGAGGGAGAATCTCCCCCAGCAGCACAGGAGGATGTGGGTGGAAGCTGCTCCCAGGTCTCATTCCAGGACATATTCCTGCTAAAGCTTGTGCTGTTTTATGAATGCCTCCTCAGAAGCTGGAGAGATTCATTCATTAGTCTGCAGATCTCAGACTGCCCTCCAGACACCACTGGCTTTCATGCAAACAGCCCATATTATTGGAACATTATAAATTCAAATTGGTGTGGAGCCTACCAACAGTAAAGAGAAAATGCTGAATATGTTCACACAGAAACTGATTTTTGAAATATTTTCCATGCCCCCAGCACAAGAAGGGCATGAATTACCTTGCTCAGTTCCAAAAACCATCGAGAGAGAGCTGTAGGAGCTGCTTCAAAATGTCACATGAAATGAAATTGTTCTGTGACAATTAGGATAGGACAATAATAGCACTAACCAGAGGCATTAATCATTCTGCATTAGTGTTAGGCCTCATGGCCAGGGGTGCACTTCCTCCAAGGAAGGGATCTGCATTAAACCAACATCAAATACGAGAAGAATCTACACTGTAAAGTGAATCTCAATTCAGTTCAGCTTCAGCTTTGTGCTATTCCCATTGTGGAAGCAAGTTAAGCAAAAGCAGGATTTTTTTAGCTCTGAAGAGTGCCTGTGCAAGCGTTATAACAATTTCACTAACTTGAAATTCACACTGCAATAATGTTTGGCCTTTCTGAATGCCTCCCTTACAGGCACACCCCTCTCACTTGAAACAAGGCTCTCATTCCAACCTCAGCACTGGCAGTGACTCATTTGACAGGATCCATGAGTTCTCCTCCTGGAATTGTCATCAGTGAAACAAGATCCACCTCACGGTCACGATGCATCCATGCCACGCTATTAACATTTAAATTCTGGGGGAAACTCCAGCACCTCCCAGAACTCACAGAGCACTCCACCAGGCACAGTGATGCCTCAAAGTGAGGCTGACTCCAGGGGTAGCTGCAAACACCCTCACAACAAGGAGCAGGGCAGGGTTTTCCCCTCCCAGAGCACTGCAGGAGCGCCCCAGCTGACCTGGGCAATGTTTGCTTGGGAGGCCAGGCGGATCATGATGTCCAATTTCTCCAGTTTGACATAGATGGGGTCGTTGTACTTCACAAAGAACACTTTGATCTCCTGCTTCAGGATTTCAGGCCTGCAGGGAACATAATGCTGTCACTCAAGAGTGGTAAAAAAGCCAAAGTATGTTAACAACAGGCATATTTTCTTTAGAAATCTCCCCAAATATCCACTGAGAAAAAGAGTGGTGTCATTTTGTCCTGGTTGACCAGGGAGGTCATGGATTCCCCATCCCTGGAAGTGTTCAAGACCAGGCTGGACAGGGCTCTCAGTAATTTGGAATGTGAAACCTGCAGAGGAAGCTGGAACTACATGATCTTTAAGGTCCTTTTCAAGCCAAACCATTCTCTGACTCTGGTTTTATGCCTAGGATGTGCAAACACCAATTTGAAGAAAGAAGTCTGGTCAAAAAGATTATTTAGATACAAAAATGCATAATTCAAGTCTTTCAACAGCCACATCTCTGCTTCCTCTGTTTGAGCTGCTGAACCAACCACGACAGGCAGTGAACAGCAATATTTTCAGTGAAAGAACAACATCCTTATCTTAATGCAAAACCTACAAATTCATTTCCACTTTCACTTCAAGATGCCAGTGCACAGTAACTCTGCCCTAACATAATCACAAAGAGCTATCCAAGCTATCTCACCTTTCCAGCAAGGATCAGCAGCAATAAAACATGAACATGGGAGCAAAGTGGTGGGAAAAATCCCAAGCCACTGTGCACCAGGATGTCACCAGCCTGGTGGCTGTGGGCTGAGCAGAGTCACACAGGCACAATGAGATCCTGCAGGTCACTGTGAACTGTTCCTGTTTGCCATTTTGATTTATAGAGGCCAATTCTGACTACTCATAAAGAGAAGGTGAAGAGAGGCAGGTAAAGAAATACTGCATGAAACTGGTATCACAAATATGCTGTAAAGGAAATAAGTTCAGGCTGCCAGAGTCATAAGAGTGTTTAACCTGGCTCTCAAGGGATCTGAGCCTGGATTAAAAGAAATTCTGTGCATGTGGCAATATCTGGAGATCTGAGATAACCAGATGGCCTTTGACAATACAGGAATTAAATCCCCTGAGCATTTACCTCTTCTGCACAATCAAGTTGATGTTCCTCAGGGCAACATACTGAACTTCAGGCTCTCCAGAGAGCAGGGTCACCAGAGGAGGGGCAAGTTTCTTCAGCAGCATGTTGTAATAGTCAGAGTCCTTGGGAAGGAGCTCCAGGAACTTCATCAGGACCTTCACTGCTGACAGCACCACTGCTGAGTTGGCATGAGACAGCCGGGGGGTCACCCGCTCACAGATGCTGGGGACAGAGGCACAAAAAAGGGTTCAAATGGATTTCAGGGTGCCAAATATTTCAAATCTGAATTTAGGAGATGGCACATAGCTTCTCAGACACTGCTTGGATTAGGTTTTGCTCACAATGAATGGGCAAAGTCCTGTTTTCCTGAACGCAGCAGGAAACAAACAGGGACTTCTCTGACAGCTTCAAGTTTCTCTCCTGCCACAGTCAGCTCAGGAACAATTCCACACTCCCTGCTTTTTCCTGGTGGTATTTTCTATTTGTGTGATCTTGTCTGTCACTTACAAACATAACTTTAACAAAAACAGCTACTGGAAAAACACTTTAGCCTCCATATAGCCATTCAGAAGTGATACACGCTTCTGGCTTGCTTGGGGGGTTGCTGTCATTTCAACAGAAAAAGATTTCTGCTCCTCTGAATGCATAAGAAAAGAGTGACCTAAATATCCTCCCAAATCCCACTTGCCATAATGGATCCTGTAATCAAACTGCATCCTAAACAGCCCATCCCAAAAAGAAAGGAAGTTTGGGTTCATATGGTCTTTCTTAAAGCATCTGTCAAGTTTCTTCCCACTCCCTCCTGCATGTTGCTAACCCAGAACAATCTCAATCCCATCTGTGCCTCCTGAAGTTTCCTTCCCTGCAAGATCTGCTTTCAGCCATGCTGGAAGGGAAGCAGCACAGCTCAGTGAAGAGCAGAGAAATCCAAATCAGGTTTGGGGCACCCCCAGCTGCCCCTGCCCAAGATCACCTGCATGTCCCAGCTGCTTCCTCCCTCTGTGCCTCAGTTTCCCCATGCACAGGGGAGTGATATTTTGCTGGAAAGGAGGGTGGCTTTCCCAGTGCTGTCTGACTCCAGGAAATCAAGTCCACACAAAGGAGCAAAAGGATAAATCACTCTTCAGAGGAACTGGGACATGTTCACAGGTGCTCAAAGCAGTGGTTCCTCTGACAGAGCTGGGATAACACCAGGCTCACACCCTGGAGATCTCTGCAGGTTCCTAGCACTCATTAAGAGCTGTTTCTGGCACAGAAACAGAACACAAGGGGGAAAAAACCCAGCAAGGCTATTGGGAGGCTTCTTAGAAACAGTGCATCAAAAAAAGAGTCAATGAAGAAACCCATCAAATTCCAACTGCTCTGGCCAGGATTTTGTACGTGGGCTTGTGATCCTTCCTCCCCCTCCATCCCCACATCAGCTGCATTAAATACATCATCTCAGAGTCTCCCTGTTCCAAGTTACTTTTCTGGCTGAATCCTTGTTTTCTTAGGAACACAATCTGGCTTTTTGTGATTCTGGAGACAGATGAGGAAGAGGCTTGAAGTGCACAAACTATCAGCCCACTACCCAAACCCTAAAGTCTTTCTATTTAGGTTTAGTCATTGCAGTTAAAGGTAAAAGCACAAAGGTGAATTTGGAACAATAAGGAAGATAACTTCTTACCTTTATTTTCACTTCTATCATATCACAGACTAGTTTTCAGTTGGAAAATATTCCAGACCTGCAGTGCTTTGCAAACCCACAAACCTATAAAGGCTTCTTGCCTCTCAAAGCATGAAAACCAAATAGGAAAGCTCTGCTTTAAAGCAGAAAATCCTCCAAACAGTGCTTCCACTGTTACAGGTTTGGTCTTGAGCTGATCCCTTCTTAGTAGTGCCAGTCCCCCCAGGAACCAGGCCTTTTAAATAGAAAATAAAATAAAAAAAGATAAACAGAGAAAATGGCACTGCAGAGGGAAGGGGCAGGATTCCAACATCAGCCCAGCTACCCAAAGTGGTTTTCCTTTTAAATCTAGTTTATCAAGTCTTATTTGTGCTGCCACAGTGCCCTGTTACCTTTCAGAGCTGCACCACCCCCAGCAGCCCCCAAGTGCCACCAAAAGCCACCTCACCTCTGAGCTTCCCGGTCATCCTTGGGGTTGTAGTTGGACAGACAGTCCAGGATGAAGATCTGCCCCCACTCTGTGCACTCATTTAAGGCTGTCAGCAGCTTGTTGATGTTCTGAGGGTTCAGATCCAGCAGGTTGCTGTTGGGGTGGGACTCACTGATCTCTGACAGGGCGGCCACAGCGTTCGCTACCACCTGGGGGGAGAAAAGCTCCTTGTTAGCAGAGCAGGAGGGGCTGGGCAGGATTGATCCAGGGCTGGGGACATACAGGGAGCAACCTGGAGCTCCATCAGCTGCCACTGCAGTTACCTGGGATGTAGCACAACCTGCAGAGCCCAGAGCTTCACTGGGAGGAACAGGAACCCAGGACAAGGACATCACTTTGTGAGAGACTTTGTGGCACCCACAGGGAACAGCAGCACCCTGCAGGCTCCACATCCTGCCCCAGTTCCAGGGGATGCTCAGCTTTGCAGTCAGGGTGCCCAAACCTCCAGCTGCCCTATTTTTTATTTATTTTTTATTTATTTTTTATTTTTTTTTTATTTATTTATTCAGGAATGTGTGCCTCTTGCCCATTTTGACCATGGCACATGGCTCAGCAGTGATCCAGAAATGAGCTGGCAGGTGCCTGGCAGCCTCCAGCTCTGCAGCAGCACTGGCAGGTCACAGTTTGAGAGCAAACAAAGCATTTCTCTAAAATGGGCAACTCCTGCTAAATTTTTTAATAAGCCATATTTCAATTTTCAGGCCCCAGATCATCCTTTTGCTTTATGGAGCCATGGTAAAGGAAGCATTCCAGCACAACTCATCCCTGAAAATATTCCTGCTGCATTTAGGACTATATAAGGTCTTCTCTTTTCTAAGCACAGATGAAATGAAGCACAGAGAGGAGGTTCAGGGTCCAGATTGACACAAACAGAAGTGGGAGTGCAGCATAAATTTCTAATTCCATACTCAAATTCAACAGTTATTCCAACAGACTCCATGGGAAGATTTTTTTTTAAATAGAACTGCAGAATATAGAGACAAAATAGAAAATTTTGCAGATGAGACTAAAGTCTTATTTGTTTCACTAACATGAAAAGGGATTTAAGATGAGTTTGACACAGAAAACTGAAATCCCCAATGAAAAGGTAATTTCAGGACATTTTACAATGTACATCATGTCCAGCCCAACTCCCAGCAAATATCTGCTCAAATGAAGATTTATAGTGTTATTTTCTATGAGATTAAGGCAAAGAAACATCTTATCTAAAATCATCTGATTGTCTGGGTGGCTAAAGATGCTTTTGATGCAATATAATGAAAACAAGAACAGCACAACCAGAACTTTCCCTGCTTTGTTCCCATCCCTGCTTTGTTCCCATCCCTGCTTGTCATTAAACCAATATATTCCAAAGTCATTGCACAGGCACAGTAATGTTGATTGTTCTGCATTTCACACCTAGAGGTCAGAGATAGGATTCTGATCCAAGATTTTATGAATTTCATTAGTTGAATGAGCCTTCTGTCACCAAAATCATTAGCAATCAGTGCTGCTGTCTTCTTGTACTGTTTAAATGAGGAACTTATTAAGATAGGCTGCTTATCCTCCTCATTATTTAATTTGCCTAATTCCTGAATGGTTAATGTGATACAGCATAAAACTGAAGTAAAAGATTTTTATTATCATTGTATTTTTGGAGTTACCAGTGAAGACAAACCTCAAAAGCCACTGAAAAATTCAAAACCCTCATGAAAAAGTACTTATAGAATGACAGTGCTTTGGGAAAAAAAATTTGAATTGACAAAAAAATTTACATAGCCAAAGCATCAGAGAAAGGGAGCTGTCAGTCATACAGAGGGACAGGAGCTCTGGCAACTGCACTCACACTGCCAGGCACTTTGCTGCAGTAATTGATAAATTAGTAACTAACAGAGAATTTTAGAAGAGAACTGAGACTGCAGAACTCCAAAATCATTGAATCCAACCATTAACCCAGCACTGCCAAGCCCACCACTAGATCATGTCCACAGGTGCCATATTCAGATATTTTTGGGCAGTTCCAGGATATCCTAAACCCTGTGCTTCTATTTCCTTCCTTGCTCCATGGAGTCTATCCCTGTGTTTGCCATGGGCAAAGGATGCACAGAAATGCTGCTCCCATGGGTGGAGAGCAGCAGCTCCAACACAGAGACCAAACTGAGAATGAGATTTTGCTCTCAGCATCGTTTTGGGCCCCTGTCAGCAAAAATGCAAGTGTCCAGCTCAAAGCTGAGGATGGGACAGGAGGTGGCAATCCACTCCTAATTCCATTCAAAACATCCATGAGGAAGTGGCAGAAGGCCAGATGGGCTTGGGAACATGGGTTGTGGTCTCCTTGAGTGGCAGAAAAAGGACTGGGAGGGGTTGTGAAATATCTGGTGGCAGCTCAGTCCTGCCAGAGGAGCTGGGATCTACAATCCACAGTCCACAACTGAAGCTGGTCCTCACCCCCCACCTCAGCAGCAGTGACAAGGAGATAATTGAAGAAAAAGGGGATAAGGGAAAGGGTGGGGAATAAATGCAAACTTTAAACAATATTTATTAAAAAAAGGACTTGCTGGCTATTTGCACTGAACATATTGATGTGTTCTGGTGTTGTGCTATGCCAAGGAAAACAATCAGCATCTTCAAGGCTTTTCACCCAGCCCCAGCCCAGCTGAAAGGCAAGCAGCTCTCAGGAAGCAGTCCAACACCAACACTGGCTGGAGCACACAGCCTCACCTCCTCCCTGGCACTGCCACTGCCTCAGGCAGCAACAGGAACACAGAGCAGCCCTGCACAGCCCCAGCACACAGCTCCTGCTCTGCCAGCTGCTCCCACCAAGTCAGAGCTCAGGTCAAGGACTGAAGCATCCCCCACTGAAAGTTCTCACTCAGGTATGGCAAAAATCCACAAAGAACCACTCAGAACCAATTCTGGTGTTCCATCACCTGCTAATCCACTGGGTGCTTTGGCACTCATGGAAGTGCCACTGGAAATATTTACAAAGATGGTTTTTGGCCAAAAAAAATTTTAAAAAATCTGCAACATTAAAGCTGAACCTTAAGTCTTCAACTGGGTTAACACTTCTTCTTTAATACAGCAGCACAACATCAGGAAGCCCAACTACATTAAACAGCAAGAACAAAGTAATCAGTTGCAAGAAGTTATTTTCTCTTTAAAAGAAAAGATGATAGAATTGCTGGGGGACATAAAAGTAAGATAAAGCTTTACAAATGGTATAGGACCAAGGAACTAGACAAGTTTCACAGGCTGATTGCAAAAACCCCTAAGTTTCTTTAGCAAACAAAGCGTTCTCTGCTTTTCAAAACATGCCCCATGTTTATTTTGATGAGAAACCAACCAGTTGTGTACTTTATCCCATAGACTGGAAGAAGCAGACTTAAAGTACATAAAACTAACAGCTGGTGTAGGCTCGAGTTCTCAAAAATAATAAAAAAACAGAAGTCAACAGTAGCCACAGATATGTGAGCATAAACAGCTATTGAACAGAAAAAGCTTTCAAAATCCCAAGTTAACTCCACTGGAAAATGCCTCATTTGACTCACAATTAAGAATACCAACTTTAAGCCAAGAGCTACCAAATTATGATCTACCTAAAAATCCCCCAGAAAATAAAAATGCAGAGCAGATTGAAGAATTAATAATAATTAATAACAATAACAGGTCCCTGGCTTGCTGATGTAAATCAGTTTACCCTGGGTACACAATGACATTATTCAAATGCAGCCACAGCAACATCCCTTTGGAGCATGGATGAGCTGAATGACAATAAACCTCCTTTTGGCTGGAGGAATTTTGTCAGATTTGGAGGATTTTATTGAAGGAAATTTATTGGAATTTATTGACAAATTTGGAGGAATTTATTGGAAGAAATTTACTGAAAAATTTGGAGGAATTTATTGGAATTACCCAATACATTTAGGTTCTTGGAGAAGCATGATTGGGATGAGGATAATCAAAACCTCCCAGGCTCTTATTAAAAAATAAATAAAAAAAAAAAAAAAAAAGAAAGAAACCAAGCCCAAACCTCTACACTTAAATCTACATCACAGCTTTAAGAAGAACCCAACAGTTTTAAATCCACCTCCAGACAAACTCTTTCTGCAGCCAGGCAGACCAGAGCCGACCTCCAGGGATGCTGCAGAGGTAGGAGCGCTGTGATTTCCAAGTGATTCCTTCTGGCAGCTCAAACCTTCAGCTCAGAGCAAATGGTCTCAAACAGCACCAGGGAGGGAAGGGGGTGGCTGAAAACCTGCATGTCTGCCTGGCAGCCCACACAGAAAAGCTTTGCAGGGGCTGGGGGGACAGGAGGGAAGCTCGGCACATCCAGAACGCCAACCAGTCAAAGCAATCAGATTATTTCCCTAGCATCCCAAGCTAATTGGAAATTAAACCAAGTGTGTAATGGAGCTAATGAAATACAATGTTCTGCTGCTTGAAACAGGAACCTCTGGCTCGCCATGCCGCTAAAGTGAAGCGGAAATGAAGAAAAGGAGGAAAAATGAAGGGGCTGAGGGAAGGCAGCGCTCCCTCCACAGCTGGAGGCTCCTGCCCTCAAGGGAGCCCAGGCTGCAGGAGCTGAGTCTGAGGTGCTGACATTTCAGAGAGCACTCTGGGCTGGCAGGGTACATCTGTGCCATCAAGCACAGGCTCCCAGCTGGGAGATTCAGAGCAGCCATGGATGGGTGTCTCACAGGGCCACTCATTTTTATGACCATGCTGTGTGCCCAGAATGTCCCTACCAGGTGTTCTCCAGAGAACAAGACCCCTCATCCTGTTCACATCATCACTTTTATCTCCAAGCCTTCCTTATTCTGCTTCCCTAGGAACAGGAACCATTCCCTACCCAGGAACCATTAACATTTCTTACTTTACAAAAGAATTCTTCCCTGTGAGGGTGATGAGGCCCTGAGGTTGCCCAGAGAAGCTGTGGCTGCCCCATCCCTGGAAGTGCTGAATGGGCCTTGGAGCAATATGGGACAGTGGAAGGTGTCCCTGACCATGGCAGGGGATGGAACAAATTGAGCATTAAGGTCCCTCCCAACCCAAACCCTTCTGTGATTGAATGATTCTATGAAATGGCTCAACCCTGCAAGTCAGAGAGCCCCCATGAGCCTCTCACACTGTCAATGCTTGTTTATATGTATGGATTTAAATTAAAGCTCTG